TAAGGTGCCTCCTGAAAGATCGGTCTTACTGCCAAACTGATTAACGGATCCACAAACGAAGAAGCTAACCCGCCAAATCAGGGATTGACAGTCTCTTTAAATAACTTTCCATTTCACTAACTAACTTACCAACTGACTGACTGATGGGTTTATGTGCTGTGTGTGTGTTTGCAGTTCATGTAAGGACATCCAGCTGATGGAAAAACACATTTAACCAACTTACAGCTAACTGGCAGACTGTATGAATAACTACATAACTGCCTGGTTGGTTAATTAACTTCCTGTCTGTGTGTTTGCAGCGCAGCCAAGGACATCCATCCAGCTTGTACACACACACACACACACACACACACACACACACACACACACACACACACACACACACACACACACACACACACACACACACACACACACACACACACACACACACACACACACACACACACACACACACACACACACACACATACACATACACATACACATACACATACACATACACATACACACACACACACACACACAAAATCTTTCTCCTCTCTGGAGAGATTTGGAAGAATATTTCCCTGTTTACTCAAGTGCCACTTCATGATTAAAAACTAATCAGCCTTCAGCAGCCTGGGATCCCCCTACACTGACACAGAATGAACTGTAATTATCTGAACAGGGGGGTGAGGAGGGGGAGGCAGAGAGACATGGACGGAGAGAGGAGAAGGAGGAAAGTTAAATGACGAGATGAGAGGCTGACGAGTCAGGTGGAAAATGGAAAATAAACATAGATAGGTGATGGTGTCGGTACAGAAAGATCATAATAATAAGGCATTCAGCTGCTACTAGATACAAGTGCTATAACCTGGAAACTACTTAACATTTTACCACGTCTGATTCCCTCGTCTCAAAATAAACCATTTTTTGATTAGTGGTTAAAAGCCTGAAATACGATCTATGGTTAACACAAGAGGTTTTAAGATGTTTTTTTAACGACATAAAATCTGGCGCAACTTCTATGCATCTTAAAAACAGGGGTTGCAAACTAATGTCTAAATTAGCCGTGTTAGCTAATAGCTTTTTATTTCTGGTGATTGCATTTGCACTTCAAAAAACACAAAGTGGCGTAGTTAGAAACCTGAAATATGATCTATGGTTAACTCAAGCTGAAGACATTTTCACGTTTAGCTTTACGACATGAAATACTTCATAAATATCCCACTTGTGAATGTTCAAAACTTCTATACGTCTTACAAATAGGGGTTGCTAACTAATGTCTAAATTAGACATGTTTACCTAGGGTGATTGAATTTGCTCTTCAAAAAACAAATAGTAGAGTTGAGATGTGGAGATTAAATAAACGTGTTTCATAAAGTATGAAGTATCGTGAATATCCAAAGGGAAAATCCTATTACTTTTTGTCAATGGAGTTTCTGAGATGCTACAAAGATACGTACATCATCCATGTACCACTCAATTAGGACTGCATTATTTGGAAAAAAGTCATCGTTTTTTTAGGGAACGACAAGTTCTGTAACTTTCTTTTTGTAAATGAAGTCTGGAGACTACTGTGTGAAGGGCGGGACTTCCCAATACTTCATTCTGATATGTTCACATAGTTATACTTACTAAATACTTTACTAAATAAGAAGGAACTTTATTTATCCCAGTGGAGGGTCATGGTGAAAAACAGGATTCACTCAAGGTAAAAAATTAAATAATAATACACACATTAAAACATTAAGTGATATAGTGACTGTTGAAACAAGATATCACGGTAAAAAGTTGATAATTTGAATGGACATATATACATATTTGGATTGTTAAATATATTTACATAAGTGTGCAGGTTAAAGACTTTAATATTTCTCTTTCTATTTTGCATATATTTAGATTTTCCTGTAGTCCATATTTCAAGACTTCTATAATTGTGGTTGTCTCTTACGTTAATATAACATTAGCCCGGGTGATTAGGCAGATTTATGTTTCCTACAAATCGTGACTCAGCATAAACCGAACACATTTTATTCAGATATTTCTGTATTTTTAAGGCCTCTGACTGAAACTCGATTTGTCTCGGAGGGCTCAGCTAAAAAGTTTAAACGTGGAATGAAAAACTTTAAATTACTTTTGCATTTTTTCCCACTCTGCCTTTTCTCTTAATCTGCTGAATCGTGCTTTCTCCTCTTTCTTCCCACAATGCTCAAGTGCACACGGGCTGCTGCATGGAAACGAGGGATACAAAACACAGGCAGTGTTCAGCTACAACTCAAAATGGCTATTATTCCTCCCAGGGAATGTGATTTGTTACATAGACGTTGTATTACTTTTGTATTACACTTGACACATTTACAATCAAGCAAGTGCAATTCATTCATCGGGATTAGGTACATTTGTTTGAGGTTTGAAAGGGGATGAAAATAAAACATTAGGGTTTTTGCCGACATGTACTGAAAACCTTTAAAGCTTGATAATCCATGATATGTTCTGATGGCAACTTTCTGATAGTGCAGTGGGTGTAAAGCCAGCCTACATTTAAGATATTACCTCATATCGGACGCAAATCTGGATCAGCTCCGTTGTTCCCCCGTTTTTAGAGATTTGGGTACGGAGGAAAAGAGAGAGGGTTTTATTTTCTGACGCTGCGTGAGTTCCCCGACACACCGGGGACACATCAAAAAGTGCATTTTGCATGATAGGTCCCCTTTAACGTTGCATAACCAGGTTCAAAAGTTCACCTCCACTCTGCTTTCTTATCCTTATCTTCTGAAACTCTTTCCTTTAAATCAAATCAAATCAAGTTTTATTTATATAGCATATTTATAACCGATTTTTGGTCGAGCCAAAGCGCTGTACATATAATAAAAATAGCCTACAGTAGAGACACTTTACAGCAAATACAACAGCACAGATTGTTCAGAATATCAGTATGAGAAAAACGACACCCTCTGTCCTTAGACCCTCTGTCCTTAGACCCTCTGTCCTTAGACCCTCACATCGTACAAGGAAAAACTTCCAGAGAAAACCCACAGTTTAAAGGGAACATGGGAGAAACCTCAGGGAGAGCAACAGAGGAGGGATCCCTCTCCCAGGACGGACAGACGTGCAATAGATGCCGTGTGCAAATCAAAGAGATAATACATTTTACAGCCGAATGTACATCCTCTCCTCGCTCTATGTCCTTCCTCTGTCTCACCTCTAGCTGACACACACACTAGTTTCCTCCTTTTTTTCTGAATGGTCCGTTCGATTTCCTTCTGTCTCCTTCTTTCTCCCGCTGGGACACAGACGGAAAGGTTCAGTCAGGTGCAAAAGTTCACCTCTCCTCCGTCTTCCCCACTGGGACCCCAGGTAGCAGAAGGCACAAATGTTTACTTCTTTTTCAACCTTCGCTCTTGAACTTTCTTCCTCTTTTCTTAGGTCTCCTCTTCCTTCCATCTCACATACTATGCTAATTATTGTGCAGTATGTATACGTCTTCCTCTATTTCCAGTCCTTTGGTATGCTGCAATTTTAAAGTGTATGACAGTCATCGTTGGGTAAACTCATTCAGACACTACAGATACTATTACATCCTATACATGACCTCCTTCTATGTGAACAAGTGACCTTCTTTTGAGTGGAAATGTATTTGACATTACAGTCTTTGCAGCTTTAAATACATTCTGCTTCCTCCCCTCTTTCTCTCTGTCTGGTCTCAGCTCGGGTCATTTCACTGCAGATTTTGAGTCTTACTTACACAAAAGATTATTCAAATACTCCCATTGTAGGCTGAATAATACCATATTCCTCTGCCACACTCACATTCCTACAATACCAAGCAGTCATTGAGGCTGACAACTAATTATCTAATCATTTAAGTCATTTCCCCCCTGAATATTTAGCCTTTGATTGATTTTCTTTGGGTCACAAATATGCAAACTTTATCCAAATTATGCTGCGCATGTTTTTCTATTGTTGGACATTTTAATAAACTACTAATAGAGGAAATAACCAGATGACTTGATAATGATTATAGTTATTAGCTGCAACCCCAATTCATTGCTGATTTCCAAGAGGATCTGCATGTTATGTACTGTAATACAATCAGCGTCAGAAATGTTCAATGTTCATGTCCTCCCCACTTTAAAGTAATACATTATGAGTTATATCACTGCAACATGGTTTAAAGTATAATTTGTCTGCACTTCTCTCCCTGCTCACTCTGAGTTGTTCCGGTCTCTCTTTCTATTTCACTTATTTGTTCTAAGTGCAGCCTGACCTTCTCAGTGCTGCTGGAGTCAGTGTGTGTGTGTGTGGCACCTTGTATTACTATCCTTGTGGGGACCTACATCTGTTTATACAGTCACGTGTGGGGACTCGCCTCCCTTATGGGGACATCATGGAGGGAATCATTAATTTTAGGGGGAAGACTTGGTTAGGGTTAGGCATGTGTTGGTTATGTTTAAGGTTAGGATAAGTCTCCAGGAAATGCATGTAAGTCAATGTAATGTCCCCTGAAGTGGTGTGTGTGTGTGCATCTGTGTGTGTGTGTGTACAGAGTTGTAATTTAAGTGCAGGTACCACTATACTGTATGTGGATTTAAGACTTAGTTTTCTTAATACTTACAAAACTAAAAATGTAATTTCCATCAATCTCAGCTTCACTGTGTGTTGATTTAAGTTCAGAATAAACAGGGTAAAGCGTTCATATCGTAATGAGTCGATATTCTAAAGTTTTCTAAGTGGCAGGCAGTGAATAAATGTCAATGTTTCATAATAAGGAAAAGTCAAAGTACCCAAAGTGTTTGCTCTTTTCAGCGTAAATCTCATAGATGCCATGTGTTGAATTGAATCTGGGACAACAGGTGAGAGGCTGCGTTCCCATATGTATGTTTCGTTGCACACATTGACTATGTCTTCTGTCTTCCTTACCGTCCTCCCATAAAAGACCCACAATGCTTCAGCTAATGAGCATCTATCAGTATGTCTTTGTAAGAAAATAAAGTCTACTCCCACACACAGCTGAATATCATTTTATAAAAAGAGAATTTATTTCAAAGTTTTTTTTTCGCTTCGGAGATTGAAGCACATAGTAAAGCAACATTACAATGTTCTGAAAATATAAGTGTGATGCTGTAACATTTTTTTTAAATCTTAATCTTTCTTAACATGTTTTTTGTTGTAATACTGGAATATTCTGCATGTATACTAAAATAAGAACTTTTAAAATTGTACAAATCGGTACCATAAAACTTGACAGAGAATAAGAAGGAGGCGTTCTCTCACTGCAACAAACACAGATTGCTAGTCTCCTCTTGAGCGCGGAGGAAGAGCGAAGAAACGCCAAATAATGAAACAAAATGAAGAACAAAAGAAATGAAAGGTTGTTCGCACACATGTGAAGTTCATCTTTCACTTTCGGCAGTATGTTGGTTATCGCTGTAGAAAAACCAACATTTTTAAACAACCATAAACATCACATTTGCAAAGAGTTAAACATGAACTTGTTCCTGTGTGGCTGCAGCCAAAGAAAGAACAGTTATTGTCATACAAATTAAGATAATAATAACAATAATAATAATAAAAAACAACAATAATAATAATCATAATATAATAACATTAAAAAAGAGATTGAAGCTGCACGATTAAAAAGGATGTTCTGGTTTCAGCCTCTCAGGAAACACACCTTGGGTTTTTTCCAGGCTGCACGCTTTATGTTTGATTAGCAACACGTGTTGATACAACAGCTGTTGCCGCCAACATAGGAAAAAACACAACGGTACATTTACTCCGTCTACATCAGGGGTGTCCAAACTTTCTTCAACGAGGGCCACATACAGAAAAATATCACTAGAGGTGAGGTATACTGCCTCATAAGTTAAGTTAGCAAAATGAATCAAAAGTCTGTAAATTATGTTAATCTACTTTAAGAAAAATAAACAGCTCTCCAGAGGGTTTCATGTATTGTGTTAGCAGGTTATTCCGTACTCAGATTTCTTACAATACGTGGAAATAGCAAGGGTTTATTTCAAGTTTGTTATGTATATAAGTTATTGGGCTTTTTTCGTATCAACTCAAAACGTGTTTTCCATTTTAATTTACTGAATGTATTTCAACATTGAGCTTATGAACACTACTGTGTAATATATGTTTACAGATATGTTTAATAAGTACAATACAAGGAAAGCTCAAATTTCAGTTTTGGGCCAAACTCCATTATACTTTTTGAATTTTCTGACGACCGATTCGAAATGTCCCGCGGACCACATTTGGCCCCCGGGCCGAAGTTTGGACACCCCTGCTCTACATGTACCGTGCCGACAGAAACCCCCACATCCTGTTTCAAGAGTGCAGGAGAAGTGATATATCGCATGTCTGCACACCGCTCTGTACATTCCTATCATGGAGAATAGTTTGCTTTCTGGATATACTTTTCAAAAACAAAAAGGAGAACGGAGAGAATGCACCGCGTTGCAAGAGTGTCCGTTAAGATTAAGGCGATTTTTAGAGCTCACAGGTTTTTACTGATTGATCATCATTGGTGGACTCCGAATGAGGAAGTGATCGTTCATTGGTGGACTCTGTGTTTTGGAAGTGATTGTTGATGGGAGGGAAAGGGGGGACACAATCGGGGGTGTGGAGAAGGGCAGGTTTTTCTTTTCACATCTTCTCTGCAGTGAAGAATGAAAAACATGGAGTCATCCACAAATCAAATCCATGTTGAGTCTTTTTGGGAGTATAAAAAAAAGGAGTTGGTAGCATGTTCACAGACACTCAGACAGTCCTCGTGAGTTCATTTGTCTGCGTGTCGCTACTGAAGCTAGCGGTCTCTATGGATACTCTTGTTCTGTTTACCCCTGGAGTTGTTGTTTATTTATTATAAGGCCACCATACTGTGAAGATGCTGTGAGCGCCTTCAGAGTATCAACAACCCAGAGTCTGTCACGCTATCTAAACCACAGTACCTGCTGAATCTGCACACACAACAACACATTGGAAAAGCATTTTGTTTCACCCCCACCGACACATAAACACTTCTCTTCCATAACATCAGGCAGCTGCTGGATCCCATGCTAACTTTTTCTTTTAATTCGCTTTTCTTCCTTGAAATACAGCCCATTCAGAAACGTGTCAAGGTCAAATCTCTCTGGGGATCCATCGAGGACCTACGTCAATCCAGTCCAGAAACGTGTAGAACCTCTAAGAAACTAAACAGCTAGCTAAAAGCAGCTCATTTTGATCACACAGCAACATTTTTGCCCCAACAATTTACTTTCCAACGGACAAACTGGTGACATAACAAATCTCCCAGCCCTGCAATGCTCGAGTCTGTAGAAAGAGAAAGGGGAAAGAGACATACTGGAGACATTTGGGGAAAAAGTGGTAGCGTAGTCCAAGCGTTCTTCACGTGTTCATTAACAAATCGTCTTGGAGGACCATGGAAAGGAACGTCCGTTGACACATTGGCATGTACTGATCAGGTTGGTAACAAGTGGGTACTGGGGAGTGTTAACCCTCAGTTAACAAATCCTCATGGAATCAATAAATCAGAAGGGGGCGTCCACTCGGTAAGACCACTGTTAAGAGTCTTCTTCATCCTCATCGTCCATGAAGCAGTCTTTGGTTCCGTACAAATCCGCCAGCTTCTTAAATCTCGGCCCCCAACTCTGCAAGTAGTCATAATCCAAGTCAGATTCGGTCGTGACGGACTCGAGGGAACTCAACGACCCCGCCAAAGATCCTCTGCCCTCGTATCCGTAGATCTGAATGGAGTCGTAGGGCGGTGCCGTCGCGTCGCTGTCGGCTTCCGCAATCCTCGATTTGATGAAGTCGTCAACGTCCACGCTGTGTCCAGTATGGCCGCCGCCGGGCCTCAGGGGGAACTGGAGCTCCGGTTTGATGTCCTTTCTTGGCAGGAAACCGTTGGCACCGTCTGGGTTCTGGGCGAATACAAAGAGAGAAGCAGTCAGATAAACCCGCACGATACTTTGTCAAAGCAAGTTTCGCAACATCAACAAGGAAACAGATGTTTAAAGTAAAAGGTTCACTGCAAACATCATTAGTAGAGATGGCAAAAGTGCACACATGCTTTACTCAAGTAGAAGTACAGATACTCGTGTTTACAAATACTCTGGTAAAAGTAGAAGTACTGACTAAACTTCTTTACTCAAGTAAAAGTAAAGAGGCTTTGAAATGTACTTCAGTAAAAAGTACCCATAACTAACAGCTGCTTTAAAGAGTACCTGACCTCCCTTTATATTAATAGAACAATAATGTCATTGTTAGCTAATGAATGTTTCCATGCTGAACAACGGCAACATGACAACGTTTCCATTGGTCCCTCTTCTTTAGAGAAGACCAGGAAATGATGGATACACGGATCGTGTTCAAATCAATAGGCACGCAATGACTCTAAAGAATAATGATCACGCATCAAACACACATTCAGACTAAAGGAACCAGCTGTTTGGAAAATGAGAGAAGTAGAAAGTACAGGTATTTGAGTTCAACATGTAAGAAGTAGAAAGTACAGGTATTTGAGTTCAACATGTAAGAAGTAGAAAGTACAGGTATTTGAGTTCAACATGTAAGAAGTAGAAAGTACAGGTATTTGTGTTCAACATGTGAGAAGTAGAAAGTACAGGTATTTGAGTTCAACATGTAAGAAGTAGAAAGTACAGGTATTTGTGTTCAACATGTAAGAAGTAGAAAGTACAGGTATTTGGGTTCAACATGTGAGAAGTAGAAAGTACAGGTATTTGAGTTCAACATGTAAGAAGTAGAAAGTACAGGTATTTGTGTTCAACATGTGAGAAGTAGAAAGTACAGGTATTTGAGTTCAACATGTAAGAAGTAGAAAGTACAGGTATTTGGGTTCAACATGTAAGAAGTAGAAAGTACAGGTATTTGAGTTCAACATGTAAGAAGTAGAAAGTACAGGTATTTGTGTTCAACATGTGAGAAGTAGAAAGTACAGGTATTTGAGTTCAACATGTAAGAAGTAGAAAGTACAGGTATTTGGGTTCAACATGTAAGCAGTAAAAGTAAAAAGTCGTCAGAAAAATAAGTAGTGGAGTAAAGTACTGATACCAGAAAGATGTACTTAAGTACAGTAACAAAGTATTTGTACTCCACTACTTCCCACCTCTGGTTCTGAGTGAGTACAAAGAAAGCACCAGTCTGACATTTTTTCGTTCATCACAGCAATTACGTTTGCAACAACAAGAAACAAGGAAACAGACCTTTAAGATTTAAAGGCAAAGGAAGTTCAAGACCCTTTAATGGATAATTGAGCTTGGGTTAAACTCCATATATAACTTTAGGATTAACTGATGCATAAAGGAGTTCTTCAGTGTAACCATTTTGAATCCTGAGACCCTGACTCTTTGCTGTTCAGGACATGGTCATGGTATAATGCTGATTTATAGAGTTTCTCAAAGGGTTGACCTTAAATCTTTGAGCAGATTTTAATATATCGTAAACACTTGTCAAATACAGGAGAATCATGTGTGTACTCGCTCGGAAAGACCTAATGCGGTGGAGAAAAATAAATAATTAGTTTTGTCCTTTTATTTATTTCCAAGTGCTTTTTATGCTTTGAGAGTCAAATGGTGAGCCACATGTATCTTCAAGGCCTACTGTTTATTTTCTTCTTTTTAATGCTGCTTTAATTCTATTTTGAGATGTTTAAATTCTAGTATTGTTTATTTCTACTATGTAATGCCTTGTTTTGTTTTGTTGTTTTTTATGCTGCTGCAAAGCAAACATTTCCCAAATTAGGATCAATAAAGTAACTCTTATCTTACCTTATATAATTTCCACCTTTTAATCAACCTTAAGTTAGTTAACGAGAAAGAGCTGAAGAAAAATGGTGCTGGCTAATGAGGTACAAAGTGTTAAAATATCGACAAATGCTAAAGCTGAATATGAACAAAGTATAGGTACTTTTTGAGATACCTGCAGTGTAGCGATGTCGAAAGCCTCCGTGTCTTCCTCACCGCCTCCTTCATCATCGTACGTGATGATATTCTCCCTGATGTCCTCCTCCTCAAACACTATCAATGGCTCCTTCTTCTGACGCCTCAATGCAACAAACAACACAACGATTGCTGCCAAAGAGAAACACAAGAATCAGAAATCGTGCTGCATTTAAGGATTACATAACAATCCTCACACAATCTCTGTGAAGAAAGGAGGGAAGTCAGCATTGGATCATTAGTATGCACTGTGGGAGATGGTGTGATTAGACCTTGGACAGTTTAATTAATACCATCACTGTATTGTGCTGTACACATTAATTATTCTCATGCCAGATGTTCAAAACTCTCGTTTGGTAGTACTTAGGGCAGAAAGAAGCGTAATCGCCACCTGTGAGAATACATTGGATAATACATTACAGAAAATAACAAACCGGATAACAGCTGCAATGTGGGAAAACCAAAGAGCTGATGAATATAATCAAGGCTGCAGACAACATTTAAAGATTTCTTTAGAGTCATTCAGGCCCACTTTCACAAAATAACCCAACAACAAAAACTGTCATTCTGTTACGTCCTAGAAAATATGATTACGCAAGGAGAGAAGTGATTTTGAAGTGGCTGATACACATGTGACTCGAGGTTATTTTAACAAAAGCTTGAGCGATGCAGTGCAACATTAACAGCCTGTCTCCTATTCCCACATTTCACCAATTTGTAAAGTACATTTTGGACGTGTTTGGCGTTATTTGGACATACATTTGACAGACTTTGACATATAGACGTTACCCACTATGGCTGTATGCGAAAAAAGCAAACGTCCGAATTATTATGACTGGACATAAAACTGACTTTTCACCTCCAGCTTTTAGAACAAGTCTTTTGTGATGTTCGACCCAAATGCGTGAATAAAAGCGCCGGAGAATTGACAGCCATCCAGTAGGTGTGTTGGTACAGTTTCTTAGCAGTTTCTGGCATGAAATTGTGGATCGAGAAGTCTTACACAAAACACCAAAGCAGCTCTTACTGGAGAGATAATACGATCCTGAAAAGGGATAACAAAATCAAAAAACTGACCAAAATCGGCCGACAGATTTAAGGAACCGCATTAGTTGATTATGGACAAATCACAGAACGACTATACTGCGTTATAGCATGCTTCCTGTACCAAGGGAACACATATATTCTGATCTCCCGTTCGGTGCTTGGAAAGGGAAACTCTCGACAACTCGTCTCGTCCTCGTCCTATCTTTCTAAAATAGCTTCCCAGTTATTATTGATTTGATTTCTTTACATTTAGTTTTTCATATTCTCATGTTGAATTTTTAGGATTTGAGACCTTAATCATGTTGTGACCCCTTCTTAAAAAACTGTTCATTTAAATTGGAGTACTATTGGATGCTGATGACGATGACTTAATCTTTTATTTTCATGTACGCTAGAGGACGACCAGAAACGTGTTTACGCTTCTTCTTGTCCCTTTTGAACACGACAGAAACTATTTGAGAATAAATATATATATATATTTTTATACCTTGAACGTTTTTTTTATTTTGTTTTGTTTTGTTTCTAACACCAATAATAAAGGAGAATGTGAGAAAATAACTAATGAAGAATAAGTTTATAAATAAAAGCTTCCCAATCGAGCAAATCTCCCAATTTTTAAGCAACGTCTTATCTCCTCACCGAGCAGAATGACGATGCAATAACACAGACTGTAACACCCCTTGCTGTTAAATATCAACCATGTGCAATATATATATATATATATATATATATATATATATATATATATATATATGCCGTTAATAACAGTGCAATATATACCTGGTTGTTAAACCCTCAGAACTGTTACAGGATATTATAATTTTTTTATCTTTAAAGGTCACCTATCATACTACTTTTAAGGCAATAGCACAGGTCTCAGATATATAAAAATATATGAAAAACATGTCTATGAAGTGTTTTGCTCAAAATACCAAACAGATCATTCTAGCCATGCCTCATATCCCTCTATTTCACTTCCTGTTTCAAAAGTGCTGATTTGGGTATAAAGCTTTAAAAAGGAGGGGTCTGAGCTCATGCGGGACCCGGCAGTTACTGTCTAAACTAAATGCTGCCGTGATGAAACGCCATATCATGGATTATCAAGGATTCTCTCTGAAACAGTTTGGAGCTCAAAGGCTTTCTCTCTTGCCGGTTATACCACAAGGTGAGTTATTTTTTACTTCCTGCTTCTTCACACACATGCTCTCCAGTACAGGTTAGCTCTGAGTGTTAGCGATGCTAATGTAAACACCGACCATATTACGTCCAAAACAGTCGGGCATTGTTTCTGATAGCTACGTTTCTGATTGGGCCATTTCAGATATTACGTCATATCGGACGCAAATCTGGATCAGCTCCGTTGTTCCCCATTTTTAGAGATTTGGGTACGGAGGAAAAGAGAGAGGGTTTTATTTCCTGACGCTGCGTGAGTTCCCTGACACACCGGGGACACATGTTGATGTATAAAAGACATCAACAAGTGCATTCTGCATGATAGGTCCCCTTTAATACTTTTCTATGCATGCTTCTTAGCTAACATTAAGCTGTCTTTGGCTCTTTTCTGCTGTAACAATATACATTTCCCCTCTGGAACTAATGATTCTGATTCTGACACACTCAGGATATACTGTCACACTGACAGCTTATTATTTCTGCCTAGTTCTGCCTGTTGTTTCTGCACTTTGTTGCAGACTTTGACCTAAAATTGCCTATTCCATTTTTACAGGTATTCTGGTTCTCACCCAGCAGAATCACGATGCAGGCCAGGATAGCGATCAGCGCACCGGTGCTCAGCCCCGCTGCGAGGACGTACGGCTCCACGTTGCAGGACAGGATGGTGCCTCTGGAGTCACAGGAGCACACTCTGATGGTCAGGGTGTTGGTGCTTCTCATGGAGGGCAGGCCGTTGTCGTTTATCTCGATGGGAAGGTAGTAAACATCCTGGGTCCCGCGGCTGAATCCTTTACGGAGAACATAGATGCTGGCTGTGCTGTCTGTGGAGAAAGATACAAATACATATATTGAAATGAGCAATTATTGGAATATCATATGTAGGATTCAGGATTCAAGGCTTTTATTGTCATTTTTACATAGCTACAGTGTAGTGTAGACACATTTTGCAGTATTCACTTTTCAAACTTTTATGACCTTTATTATTACACTTGTAGGGCCATACTTGTTGCATTTATTTCCTAACCTTTAAAGAGGCTTTTTGAGTAAAACTCCTTTTTCTCCTACTTGTTACACATAGCTGCTATTGGCTAGCGCTCCAACCATAGACTGTATATATAAATGGACGTAGTGTCCGTGACGTCACCCATAGGATTCTGCAGAGTTGCCGTGAAGCCCTTAGTAGGCGGAGTCGGCCACTAACGGCTCGACTGTGACGTCAGTCTAATCCCGCCTGCTCCAAATAAGGGCAAAGAGGCGGAGCCGAGGCGGGACCTGCTGCCTCCGAACTGGAAGTAAACAGAGCTAGCTCAGGCTAAGAAGCTAAGCTAACATGAAATACATGCATACCAAGTTACTGCTAACAGTGTAGTTCCCCTATATAAACGTTACATTCATAATCAAATGAGACAATCTGCAAGAGAATTAGCTATATTTTGTTATTCTTAATGCTTGTCATTCACACGTTGAGAAAAGACGGACTCCACCGCCCGGACCTAACGGAGCCGCAGTGGGCTAGCTCCGGGACGCCGGCTGGAGCTAGCCCCCTGTGGCTCCGTTAGCTCCGGCGGCCACCACTGGGATAATTGGGTCCCCTATTAACATTTGCTCCCGTTTAGCATTATGGGCATCATAGATAGACTATAAAAGTCTTACCCAAGGCTGAATCATAAACTAAAATGTAAAGGGTTACGTCCTTAGCTGTCTAATAAGTAGCAAGCTAAGCTACCAAGCACATGTATAATTTTAGACTTCTTGGAAGTTCTGTTAGTACATTCAAGCGCACAGCACAACATTTTAATTGTCTGGTATTTGTAACAATATTCCCTAAAAGGCACAATCACCACGAACACGGCTAAAGGGTCAAGTACAGTAACTACAACTAACTAACGTTGTAGCCTCTATGGTTGTAGCCTAGCAGAGTGGACAAGTTGCTGTTAGCTGACAGTGAGGTATGTACGTGTCCATCAAAGTGACCACGCCCTAATTTATGCATAACTTTAAAGCTTAATATTAATTAAACAGATGAGTTGAGAAAAAATGCACCCCCCCAATCCATATTCATGAAGGGGGAATCTAACTATACAGAGAATATGGTTTTTTGAACCACGATGTAAACATGTTTATTTCTGCTGTAAAGTTGGGCATTTTAAAATGGGGGTCTATGGAAATTGCTCCCTTCTGCAGCCTGCTCCTACTGGCCACTAGATGAACTGCAGTGTGTGGCACTTCCGTATTAGCGTCCCGGCTCTTCCCCAGAGTTTGCCGCTTGGCTCCAACACATTGTACGCAATAGGGGCGGGACATCTCTAAGCGGTTGATCAATCACAACAAAGCCGACCAGCTAACCAATCAGAGCAGACTGGGCTCTGGTTTCAGACGGAGGGTGAAAAGAGGTGCTGCAGCACAGACAGTATGAGAACAATAAAGAGCTTTTTGAACATTAAAGCATTTAGACATGTCCCAGTAGAGACACTATGTACTGATATCTTGACCAAGCTCAACTCAGCATGATTGCAATTCCCACTTTTGTGTTCTTCAGTCCCTCTTCTTCTCGTTCTATATTATTCTTATTCTTGCCTTTCTGTGTCTCATTTTCTTTCCGTAAGACTCTCTCGCAGCCCTCACGGAACTTAATTCAATCAGTCGGCCCCCTAAGATATATGTACAGACGGACAGAGACCCCACTGCAATTAATACAGCCCGCACAACATGTGTGCATTCACTGGTGTGTGAGAGAGATTCAGAGCACCTGCTGCTCTCTACAAGGAGGTGTGAGCCTCCATCTGGCTATGCTTTGATCTAATCTGAGTGGAAGGGGGTGGGGGGGGGGGGGGGGGTGGAGGCATAGCAGCAGATGAAGAAACGGTAATGCTAGAAAAAGGGTGGGAAACATATAGAAACGAGATGAATAGAATAAGACGTTAAAGATCTCCTACCTCTGTTGTCTTTGACGGAGAAGTTGTGGTTGTGGGCGACTTCCGGAGCGAGCCTGAAGGTGAAGTGTTGTCTGTGAGCCATCAAGTCTTTGTCCACGGCGCTCACTGTTTCAATAACCTGACACACACACAGGAACACACAGAAACAAATGTCAACTACTATCCGGGTACATGTCATCTTTGATTTGCAAATATCTCACTAAAACACATCCATATATGTGGACGTAAATACACATCAGAAAGAAATTTGTGTCGATTACTGTTTATTTTTACCTAAATCCCCCCCAAAACACACACACACACACACACACACACACACACACACACACACACACACACACACACACACACACACGTACCTTTCCCGGCGCAACAGTTTCACACATGTGGACTTCGTTGTTGGTGGCGAACTCCGGGGCGTTGTCATTTACATCTTTCACTTTGATGTTCACACGCACTTTGGTGTCTTGGTGATGTCCTCCTGCACACACACACACACACACACACACACATGGACACATGGACACACACACACACACACACACACACACACACACACACACACACACACACACACACACACACACACATCATCAGTATGTTGCCTCCTATACAGAAACCTAAAGCTTATTTAAAACAGTCATATGTGCCTGAATGTGTGTGTGATTGCCTGAGTGTCTGCTGTGTAATCTGAATCAACCCAACTCAAAAATAACCATGAATATTTTCCAGACAGATTGCCTGTCAATCACTCCGCCACTCAGCCGGCTTTTTGTTATTTCTGATTTATAGAAATTACAGGCACGATGTTGCGAGACGTCAATATATCCAGTCAGTGTGCCGCGCTGTTCGACTGCTCCCACACTTTCTTTCTACTGAGTCTGTTTTGATATGCTAAAGCGACAAATGTCAAGTCAATACTGGTCTATAGTGTTTCATATTAACTCTGGTTATAGTGTTTATATTGTACTGTTTGTATCTGCTACTTCTATACGGGTTTGTCCTGCTTTTCAGAGTGTTAGTTCCTTTTAATACTGTTCAGGCTTTAGGTTCTTCTTCTTGCACTTCTGGTTGTTTTCTAACTGCATTTAGTTCTCCCAGTACTCTGTGCAATGGCAATGAAGTTGAATCTAATCTTATTCCATATCTACTGAAGATTAAAATTATGGGAAACATGTGTGATGCAGACCGAATGTCTAAACAGCCAAAATAGACCGTTTTCTTGATGAATCGGGGGCTCAACTCAAGGAGAAAACACTTCACTGTCCATTTCTGTAAAGAACATCACATCCGCGCTGCCTTGCATATTTCTAATTCTAGTCACTAAGACTTTTCCACTACCCTGTCATTACCAGACATTTATTTAGCTTTCCAGGGCCTGTTAGCGGTTAGCGTAGCCTGCAATGGTCCCAGTTTTGTGGGCTGCGAGCTCTTTTCCATCTGGCCGTCTGGCGTCCATCGCGCCACAGGGAAACCACGAGGCGCTCTGGTAGTTTGAGCCCCGACCACAGAATAGCAGGGTGGGGCGGCTGTGGCTCACAGATTCAGAGTTAGAGTGGTCGAAACCGGGGAGAAAAAGCTCCAGAGGGGCTGTGACACGACGGGCATTCTCCCCTTTCTTCGCCCCTCAGACTTTCTGTATAGTTAGCAGAAGTTTTTGTGGTGTGGATTGGATACTAAAGTTTCTGGGGCCTCAACTTTGCTTTTTCTCATGCTGTGTCAGGGTTTCGATTCATGTTTGTGTCACTTAGCAGCGACCAAAAAACGTTATGTGCTGAACCTCATTCACACAGTAATATACAGTTTAATTAAAGTGAACAGCTGAAATATATAACCAGTCGCAATTCATGGTGTGTCGACATCTGTTTCTACTGTATGCTTTTAGACTTTCTTTCATATGGTCATATTTATTGTTCGTATTGTTAAAAGAAAACCGACAAAAATCTAAGGTTAATTCGTCTTTGGCATCCAAGACATCCTACACATTATATATATCAGTATTTGTTTCTATTTCAGAGCAAAACTTTACATTAAATGCAGAAAAACTTCCAAACCAGGGTTAAAACGAGTTACTCTGAACAAAAATAACAGCACCAAGCTTCTCCTTGAGGCCAATCCCTCCTAGCTGAATATATAATTACTTAGCCGAGTTTCAGGCAGTTCTTCAGACATTCACAGCGAATAATGCTAACTTTAGGTCCCACCCAGAGAGTATAAATTAAAGACGGCAGCTTAAAAAGCCCGTAAATGTTGTTCATAACATGTAATGGAGTGGATCCAGAGCCGCAGAATGACAGGGTGGGATCTGAACGGCAGAAAACGTACAGTCTGGTGGCTGTCTGGGATTTTTCCATCTGACTTTTTCTCTTCATCCTATATCAGAGTACAACATTTCAGCGGCATAAAGTCTGACAGCCAAGAGTACATTCTGGCTGACTTTAGCTCTTCTGTAATAAATCAGAACTGACAGTCTCATTGCCATTGTGTCACTTCACATTTAAACCTAACAAGTCCTAACTGTCCAGACGAGACAATAAAGAGTCACGATCCACAACAATTTGTGTTTGTGTTTGTTTCCTATATCTGAGAGAAATTCGGAGACGTCCACATGCCAACATAGATCAGCTTAAGTCCCTTTTTACTCATCCCTATCATGCTTTTGGGGTATTCACTTTCCCGTAGTGTGTTTACATCACTTTTGGTGCATTTAAATGGTCTGCAAAGGATACACTCCCTAAGTTCACGCCTGAGGGAGTTTCTCTCCCACACACTCCTTCTATTAGCTAGCACTCCAACACATTGCACATGATAGGCTAATGGGCGGGACATCTCTACGCGGTTTACCAATCACGACAGAGCCGGCCAGCTAACCAATCAGAGCAGACTGGGCTCTGGTTTCAGACAGAGGGTGAAAAGAGGTGCTGCAGCACAGGCAGTATGAGAACAATAAAGAGCTTTTTGAACATTAAAGCATGGAGACATGTAGAGACACTACATACTGATATACACCTGAATATCAGCAGGAGAGGACTCTTTAAAGTAGAGACACTACATACTGATATACACCTGAACATCAGCAGGAGAGGACTCTTTAAAGTAGAGACACTACATACTGATATACACCTGAACATCAGCAGGAGAGGACTCTTTAAAGTAGAGACACTACATACTGATATACACCTGAACATCAGCAGGAGAGGACTCTTTAAAGTAGAGGCACTACATACTGATATACACCTGAACATCAGCAGGAGAGGACTCTTTAAAGTAGAGACACTACATACTGATATACACATGAACATCAGCAGGAGAGGACTCTTTAAAGTAGAGACACTACATACTGATATACACCTGAACATCAGCAGGAGAGGACTCTTTAAAGTAGAGACACTACATACTGATATACACCTGAACATCAGCAGGAGAGGACTCTTTAAAGTAGAGACACTACATACTGATATACACCTGAACATCAGCAGGAGAGGACTCTTTAAAGTAGAGACACTACATACTGATATACACCTGAACATCAGCAGGAGAGGACTCTTTAAAGTAGAGACACTACATACTGATATACACCTGAACATCAGCAGGAGAGGACTCTTTAAAGTAGAGACACTACATACTGATATACACCTGAACATCAGCAGGAGAGGACTCTTTAAAGTAGAGGCACTACATACTGATATACACCTGAACATCAGCAGGAGAGGACTCTTTAAAGTAGAGGCACTACATACTGATATACACCTGAACATCAGCAGGAGAGGACTCTTTAAAGTAGAGACACTACATACTGATATACACCTGAACATCAGCAGGAGAGGACTCTTTAAAGTAGAGACACTACATACTGATATACACCTGAACATCAGCAGGAGAGGACTCTTTAAAGTAGAGACACTACATACTGATATACACCTGAACATCAGCAGGAGAGGACTCTTTAAAGTAGAGACACTACATACTGATATACACCTGAACATCAGCAGGAGAGGACTCTTTAAAGTAGAGACACTACATGCTGATATACACCTGAACATCAGCAGGAGAGGACTCTTTAAAGTAGAGACACTACATACTGATATACACCTGAAAATGAACATATTTGTGGCCCTTCTTAAGATATCTCTATATTTAGATCTTGTCTGTGCACACGTACCTATCTCTGTGGCGGACGCAGAGATGTTATGCCAGGCCTGAGCTTCTCTGTCCAGGGGTCTTTTCGTGGTGATCATGCCGTCTTCTGGGTTTATGCTGAAGAACTGCTCTATATCTGTGTACAGAGGGATCATGTACCTAAACGGAGAAAAAACACACACATTTAACACTGTTATCACACATGAGGGACATATTGAGCTTCCAATATTATGGAGATCATTTGGTTTCAACTCAAATACAATAACATAAAGTGTAATTTCTGTATAGCATGTCTTGCTGTTTCAAAAAAGTCTGGACTCAGTGATTTTCTGTTGATTTTCATAAAAAGTTTGTAATCCTATTTAGCATATTCTGTTTGAAAAACTCTTCATGTAATCTGCGTACAAGTTGTAAAGCAATATTTCTCTGAGTCATATTGTTTGTTCAGTGTAGCTGAAGGAACACTATTTAAAAGGGATGTTGTTTTGGCAACTTTCCAATACACAGTGGAGCGAACATTGAAATTCTCCCACTGCTACAAGTCTGACTAAGTAAATGTGTGTGTGTGTGTGTGTGTGTGTGTGTGTGTGTGTGTGTGTGTGTGTGTGTGTGTGTGTTACCTGACGGGATTGTTGGCAACATCAGTGTCTTTTGCGTGGACTCGTCCCACCGAGGTGCCTTCAGGCGCGTTTTCTTCTACCTCAAAAGTGTAACTGGGAGCTACGAACGCAGGAGGCTCATCAGCATCCTCCACTGAGATCTGCAAAACACACATTTGAAACACTCCTGTGATATTTATCCAGTCGCTCTCCTGCTCATGCATACAAACACGTTTTTTTACATACCTTTATTGTGGCTTCGTCCTTATACGGCCCCCATGAGACGTACTGAGGATCGATGTGAGGGTTGGATCCCTCCACCTTCAAAGTGTACGACCTCTTCGTCTCAAAGTCCACGGGCTGAGAGATAGAAAGAGAAAGTACAGAGGTCATTAAATCACCAAATCTCTGAAAGTTCATCAATATTTTATTGCAATATTGTTTGGGGGTGGCCTTCGCGGAAACATTTTGTTAGGATTGCAACCGATCAGAATCCACATCTCATATTTCCGAAACTATTCATGCTAAATACGTGTTTTTTTTTGCAATATTCTTTCGCCATTTATCAGATATTTTGTTGCTGCCTTTCTCTAGATATTTGATATCCATCTATCCATGTTGTATTACACTCTTTGTTTTATTTCAAGTAGATAATTATCACTACTATTGCTTAGAAGTCAGTAAAAGTGTATAAACCAATATCCCTCTCACACACACCAAACACACATACATTTCAGAATCACACCTCCATTTTTTATACATGTAATTGTTATTTTAAGGGGACCTATAGGGGTGTCTGCATCTTCCTGTTCTCTATATTATGTATCTGTTATGTAAACCCATTCATAGTATCTGTTTCTACTACATGCATATCTTTGTGCAGTGTAATGATGTCTATCTAAAGCACTGTTGAGCCACTGCAGACACTGCGAAAAGCATTGAGTCACCAGTGTCATATCCTTGTTCTCTGATAGGGGGAGCTGTTGCTACATGAATGAAAACATGTCAGTTTAGCAGTCCAACTTTTACCATAATCCCTACGGACGCACAATGCACAATACTTTGATATGACATGAGTAGTTTGGACCCAGAATTAATCCTTCGTTTGTTTCTTGTTGATGGAAACTAAATAATTCTGTTTTTAAAGAGTCACGATTAGATTTGGGAGTTTGGGACCCCACAGGAGAAAAGGGAGTGTTTGGAGATTTAATTCCCAGGACAGAAGAACTGCACTTCCACTTGTTTCCACCTATTTAATACACCCTTTTATAATCGACACGAGTGAATTAAGAATACATTACCATTAAAAAATCGTTGGCATTGCTTTTCAATATCACAGATAGGCCACCGTTCAACCCTGAGATTCAATTCTCTCGCATTGAGTTGAGCTCCAATTCACTTACTCCGTATTGGGAGAAAACACATTGACTTGTAATGGCCTCGCTATTGAATTGACTTGAGTGTGTGCTTTGAGGCATGACACTCAATGGCCCCACAAGAAAACCTTACACATTTCACTCACGTCACCTTTTCATTCAGTCATAACAGAAGAAAGTGGCCTAGCGATTACAGAGCAATGACTATGGGTGTATAAAGAGAACTGGATACAGCGTTGGAGACCTCTTTCATTCCTATGAGAGTTGCTCAGAGGCATGAAGCCAGTGACTCTTGATACCAAATGTATCTGGTCCAATAGAGCGTGCAGACTTGCGTTTTTGCTTAAGCCCCGCCTCTAATCCGCACGATCAAATACATGTACAGGTACAATAACTCCAGATTCGACTTTGAACACATTTTACAACTTTTAGACCCCAAAAGTTTTGTTACTGGCAACTATAAGAAGTCTCTTTTCCAATCTAAGTCACATCATAGACCCTATGCATTATATTAATGCACACAATGTACACAATATCTTGTTTTTTACTACTGCACATATTTTATTCTATTTCTATTACAAACATATTAAATATTGCTATTTTTTACTATATTTTGTAATCTTTTTTAATGTTATTATAGTTTTCTATCTGTGTTTTTAATTTTGTTTACGTCTATGCACCACAACACCAAGTACAATTACTCTATTTCTGATTCTGGTAAAAAGTGTTTTTGGGCCCAATGACACCACAAACTGACACATAAGTTTTAGTACCAACGTTTCGGTACATTTCCCGGGGGCTTGGCAATGACCCTCAACCCGATAAGCATGCTTCTAATCAATGTTCCTCTTTTCTCTAAATCTTACGGAAACACTTTAAGTCAACAATAGTTGGCAGTCATTGTGCATCAGCTACAGTTTAATACCAAAGGGATGATTATGAACACTTCTGCATTGCCAACAGCTCTTGGCTGCGACTTCAAGAGCAGATCCGTTGTAGACACAGTAAAGAAAAAACACACTTTGGGTATCACTGCTGTATTATGAACCCAGATGAAACCCCTCATCACTATGTTCCAGACAGTATTCTGGATGTTGAACCAGTAGAGTCCCAGCAGTCAGTTTGATTTTTTCATCTCGCGGCTACCAACACTTAATGAATTCCCAGTGGTAGGGGCGGCCTCATAAGCCCTGTGTGAAGTGTTGGAAAATCACTCAGAAGCTTTGGATGTATTAGTTAAACACACACGGTTTAGCAGGGGTTAGCAGTCATTAGGATGTCACCAATAGCTGCATGACTATTACGATTATGTTACCTGTTCTGTTCTTCATTAGGATCATCATTAGCACTAGCATGAGCATTGGCTATTCTTCCTTCTCACACACTGTCAAAAATATTGCAATTGCGATATGCTTTGTGAGGGGGAATGATACGATTTGAAAAAAAATTCAGATTGTTTTCTTAACTTCACTTACATTTTATTTAAGTCTGTACTTAGTTTGTAGGGGCGGGACTTCTCTGCATCTCCACACAACTTTATTTATATATTTTCACATATTCTACCTTTACCAAATAATGCACTTAATGCTATTTGCACATTGAGGTATTGTTTTTACAAACGATATTGCTTTTTTGGATTTTCTCCACGTAGCCGAGCTCTAGTGCCCGTCCCCATGTCACCTGCTTTGCTTCAGCCCTTTCATCTGTTGTTCGTGTGATGCTGCTGCCAAATAACTCTCTGCTTCAATGGATCGTTCCTCTCATTCAGTGTGGGACGTTTAACGTGTCGATGACAGGTACGATGTTTCTGACCCAGTGTTCTCTCTCTCTCTCTCTCTCTCTCTCTCTCTCTCTCTCTCTCTCTCTCTCTCTCTCTCTCTCCAGTGTGAGATAATAATATTCACAATAAGGCCTCCCTCTCTCTGGCTAACACACACACACGGCTCCTTAATATTCTGTGGACTGCTTTCGTCAGGCCACAGTTGAAAGAGAATAGCTGATTAAAGTCCTGTGTGTGTGTGTGTGTGTGTGTGTGTGTGTGTGTGTGTGTGTGTGTGTGTGTGTGTGTGTGTGTGTGTGTGTGTGTGTGTGTGTGTGTGTGTGTGTGTGTGTGTGTGTGTGTGTGTGTGTGTGTGTGTGTGAGAATAGAGATTAGGGAAATTGTGTTTAGGTGGGAGTTCATACATTAGTGTGTGTGTGTGTGTGTGGTTGTAGCCTTCTAGGCAAAATGGGTTGATTTCCCCTGAGTGATAACAGGACACAGTAAACACACACACCACACACACACACACTCTCTTATTTTCAATAAATGCCTTTTGAAATTGAGCAAGAGAGAAGTCGGTAACAAATGAGTTGAGAAGTAGTTATTATTAATTTATCTTTTTGATCATTTTGGCAGTGGCATATTCATTGCAAGTTATCATACCACTCTTTTGAATTGTTTCTCTGATTGTAACACACACACACACACACACACACACACACACGCACACACACGCTCTTCACTTGAGTGTAATCAGTGTCTCTCTTCATTTTGATTGGATCGTGTGTTTCTTTGCTCATCATATCTCTGCTTTAGTCACTTTTCTGCTTCGCGATGCCCCCTCCTACACAAGTAATGGAGGCACTGTTTTGTTCAGTTTTTGTATTCACCCCCCCCCCTCCTCTCTTTCTGCTCTTCTGCGGGTTAAGTGCCTTGCTCCAGGGCTCCCACACGTTGCATTTGTTGAGTGAATAGAGGCAGAATTACTCATTATCACTATGGTTTGATGGGAGGCCTTTACCCGGCAGTCTTAATGCCACGCTCTCACACTGAGCTCCAAAGAAATCACTCAGGCAGGCGCTTGTGAGGAAAGGCATGAAACGGACTGCTATCGATTGATTCAGACATTTTCCCACAGCATCAGCTGGCTGCTCTTTGAGGAGCTACGTCATCGCTGTCTGGACAGGAAACGCTGCTCACCACCAACGCCATTAAACACATACTGTAATGACATGCTACGACGCCAAACAAGGGTACGCTGAGATTCTGCGGGATCAAATGATGTCAATCATTAAATTCCTCCTTTTAATTTCTAGGATAACAATCCAAGAGAGTTTCCTTATTTTCCCACTCACGTTTTATAGTTCTTTACTGTATGACTTCCACAGTTCTTAATCCTGACCCGCAGCTACACATACAACAGTGTGTGCAAGGTGTGTGTGTATATGAAAAAATAAGAGACTGTGTGTGTGCATGCGTTATAGAGACAGAGAGTGAGTGAGAGAAAGTAATTGTGTGTGTGTGTGTGTGTGTGTGTGTGTGTAACGTGAGCTTTCTGGCCTAGGGAAGCATGGAGGTTAATGCACTCTCAAACATCCTTCTTTCTTCTAACACCTGACATTAGCAGACATATTAACTCAAATGTCGGTTGTATAAAGCTCTCACTTAACTGCTTTTCTGTATCGTAAATTGAAAAAGTCGGCGACTCAGGAAGTAGCTACTGTTAGCTTTTGTCTAACAATATTTACCAGAAACTGTGACTTCCTATCAAATGTTTAATATAAAGACTTGTTATGACCAAAGGAATACTACTACTTTCTCCCTTTCCGTGCCGCGTACTATTTTCATTGTGAACTGTTTAAAGGGAAATGTGAATCTTAATTTGTTTATTTGTTTATATTTGATTAGATGAGTGCACTGGCCCTTTGCTGCTGTAATGCTGAACATGTCCCAATGCGCTACATGTAAAGGATTTCTGAGTCTGATTACTTATTTGATCTCTATTGGTAAAACGTCACTATCCAAACTTACTCACTAACTGCTGTTGAACATAGTTGAGCATTAAGCATTTAGAGCAGGGGTGTCAAACACAAGGTCCGGGGGCCAAATCCGGCCCGCGACTTCATTTCATGTGGCCCCACAAGAGCTCTGAAAGAATATAATATGTTTATTATACGGTTACATGCAGATTTACAGAAGCACGTTGCCCATACAACTACATGTCCCACAATGCATCTCTCGTTTGACTTTTTCCTCAGATTTTTTTTTTTAAAACATGCCTTTTTCTTAGAATTTGCCTTTTTCTTATAATTTGCCTTTTTTCCAGAATTTGGCTTTTTTTCCAGAATTTGGCTTTTCTTTTTAAATAATTTTGTGACATTCTCACTGAAGAGACTTGCAATTATTTGCCCTAGACTTCTGCTTTCAGATGTAGTTAATTATGAAGTTATTACCCTATCCGATAATAATCCAATGCAGAGGCAATAATGTCATATAATACATTATTTTAAATATATAAAATATTTATTATATATGTATTTTTATATAGTCTTAAAGTTACCATAATGCTGATGTGGCCCGAGATGAAATTGATTTTAACCCCCCTGATTTTAGAGTGATATTTCTTGAAGGAGGAGACCAAAAACTGAGCTGAAATAGAGGGACAATTTGACCAGAAACAAGACTCCAAATGTATCACAACGCTGCTTTGTGATTTCTGGATGAGGAGAAAAACAATCTCCCCCATGTGGCCGAAAATCAAATACAGCATTTTATCTCCATCTCTGTGTCTCCTTACCTTCTTCAGTTTGATCACAGCCTCTCTGGTCTCAGAGTCAGTGCTCATCTCGAACATGTTCATCCCGTCTCCGTCTATCAGTTTGTAGTTCACCATCCCGTTGTCCCCCATGTCGGGGTCTTTGGCCTTCAGACGGCCCACCTCCTCCCCCGGCACTTTGTCCTCTGACACCGACATGGAATAAACACCTGAGGGGGAAATCAAAGGCAGAACATTTACTTTATTAGCAGAGGTGGGAAGTAGTGGAGTACAAATACTTAGTTACTGTACTAAAGTACATGTTTCTGGTATCAGTACTTTACTCCACTACTTATTTTTCTGACGACTTTTTACTTTTACTTGTTACATTTTGAAAACAAATACCTGTACTTTCTACTTCTTACATGTTGAACACAAATACCTGTACTTTCTACTTCTTACATGTTGATCACAAATACTTGTACTTTCTACTTCTTACATGTTGAACTCAAATACCTGTACTTTCTACTTCTCACATGTTGAACCCAAATACCTGTACTTTCTACTTCTTACATGTTGAACTCAAATACCTGTACTTTCTACTTTTTACATGTTGAACACAAATACCTGTACTTTCTACTTCTTACATGTTGAACACAAATACCTGTACTTTCTACTTCTTACATGTTGAACTCAAATACCTGTACTTTCTACTTCTTACATGTTGAACTCAAATACCTGTACTTTCTACTTCTCTCATTTTCCAAACAGCTGGTTCCTTTAGTCTGAATGTGTGTTTGATGCGTGATCATTATTCTTTAGAGTCATTGCGTGCCTATTGATTTGAACACGATCCGTGTATCCATCATTTCCTGGTCTTCTCTAAAGAAGAGGGACCAATGGAAACGTTGTCATGTTGCCGTTGTTCAGCATGGAAACATTCATTAGCTAACAATGACATTATTGTTCTATTAATATAAAGGGAGGTCAGGTACTCTTTAAAACAGCTGCTAGTTATGGGTACTTTTTACTGAAGTACATTTCAAAGCCTTTTTACTTTGACTTGAGTAAAGAAGTTTAGTCAGTACTTCTACTTTCACCAGAGTATTTTTAAACACGAGTATCTATACTTCTACTTGAGTAAAGGATGTGTGTACGTTTGCCATCTCGTGATATCAGTATCAACCCGTCACGGCTTGCTTTTGTAACACCACTTAAAGTCTTGTGTGTGTACTATGTGAGGCGGGGTCAGCTTCAGAGGGCATCGAGGCATCAAAATGAACTCTGCCATCTGTTCGATATGGCCCGAATGATTTTCTTATTGCCCGACGGATATAAATCCCCCCTATAGTGTCAGGTGAGCGGACACCTGGCTGCAGAATGAGAGCAGCCGGACCATATGTCTCCTCTCTCTCCACTTTTATCTTTTCCCCCCTCCCTCTCATCTTTCATGTTCCCTTAAACCATTTCCCCTCCCTTCATCTGTCTCTTCTTATCATAAAATCCTCAGACTCTGTCCATCATCCTGCTTATACTTCCCCCCACCCAAAATCCTCCTCAATAACTCAGGCGTTTATTGCTTCGTCACTTTACAGCTCGCACACCACTAGCATGTTTATCCTGCCCGTCCAGGTGTTGCAATCTTGTGTTTCGTGAAATGTCATTTGGTCATGTGGCTTCAGAGGAAAAGCGAGTGGGAGATATCCATCGAAAGTCCTCCTCCACCTCATCTCAGCAAAGCGCCGGTAAATCCCTCCTCTTCGTCTCTCCTCTTCCTCCCTGTCCTCTCCATATGTTTCACTGTCTCCCTTCCTCTCCATATTTCATATTTACCCCCTTCCTCCATCTCTTCTCCTGTCGCTCCATTCTTGCTTCTTCTAAGTAGCTTAACTTCGGTGGCTCCTGGCAGCCGAGTTAAACGTTATGACAGGACACACACATGCAGGAAGTGTATATATTCACAGAGTGTCCGCGGGGTCTTAAAAAGCATTAAAAGTTGATAAATCAATTTAGCGAAAATTAAGGCTATTAAAAAGTATTAAAGGCATTTTCCAAGGTATTACATTTTGTAGCTTGTTTTCAATAAGTATATAAATGGTCCAAAGAGGTTGTGTTCTACAGTCTGCCTGAATGTAATCATTGCGTAGGTGTGTAGTGTAGTTTATTTATGGCATCCCGTTGGGTTTGACGTCATCTGAACAGGACATCACACGCTCACTGCTTGATAGCGCGCGAAGGTCCGTTTACGCCGGTTGGTCTGCGTCCAAATGGTTGGAAGATAAGGAGGAAGGACAATCAATACTGTATATAGTCAATGTGAGGTAAAGTGTGTCGTCAAGGTAACCGGTTAAAACTCCAAGTGGCGATGAGGTCTTAAAATGTATGGAAAGGGACTTAAAAAAGGTCTTAAAAGGTTTTCCATTGACTTCAGGATTCCTGCATAGACCCTGATTTACAGTTTAACAAAACAAGTCATGCATGTATGCTACTTGTTTTCTTTTGTAAATAACATCTGCATGGTTTGGAGAACACAAAACAGCTATTTAATGATTTTATTTAAGTGACTAATCAGATTTGTGTTGTCAACTAAACGGATTCCTCTGTCATTATTCTGATACGTTTTAATATCCGTATTAAAGATTTTATTATTTATTTGAAGTTAGGATGATTTGTACGTCTTGAGCACTTTGTCATGACGTTATATTACCTAAACATTAGATTAAAGTGCTAAAAACAGCAAGTCATCTTCGCTTAATTCAGAAGAATGGCCATATGTAATGGCTTTTTCAAGAAAGTGGATATTTGTTGACACTATTGCTAGTTTTTTTAAATACACTGAACAAAAATATAAATGCAACACTTTTGTTTTTGCTCCCATTTTTCATGAGATGAACTCAAAGATCTAAAACATTTTAGGGTTAGGGTAATGTTGTGAATCGAGTGGCCTGTGTTCATCGTCCATAACATACGCCTGCCCATACCCTACATTGCTGACTCTCTAATGAACTACACACCCGCCAGAACACTGCGATCATCAGATGCAGGTCTATTAGAGGTCACCAGAAAGAGTCATAAGAAGATCGGTGATGCAGCCTTTGTAAACTACGCCCCAAAATTGTGGAACACGTTACCCAACAATATTAGGGAAGCCAATATATTAGGCATTTTTAAAAGGCAGCTTAAAACCGATCTCTTTACCAAAGCATTTGACTGATTTTACACTACTGCACTATTCTCTGTGATTGACATTGCACTATTTCTCTATGTTTTATTCCCTATGTTTTTATTTTTTATTATTTTATCCCATTTTATGCTTTGCTCTTGCTGCTTGTTTTACACTGATTTTATGTCTTATTTTTTACTGATGTAAAGCACTTTGAACTGCAATCCCCTGTATGAAAGGTGCTATATAAATAAAGTTATTATTATTATTATACCATAACCCCACCACCACCATGGGCCACTTGATTCACAACATTACCCTAACCCTCACACCAGATACTGACTGGTTTTCAGACCCCCCCAGACCCCCCCAATAAAGCAAAACTGCGCGTTTCAGAGTGGCCTTTTATTGTGGCCAGCCTAAGGCACACCTGTGCAATAACTGTTATGGAAATAATTATCATAAGACGCCAATTTGTAACATACAGGACAAACCTCGATGTCTGTTTACCTTCTTTAAGGACACAGGCGGCTTAGCCAATAATGTTATTGTTCCCATTCTGTGACCGGTCAATACTGGGATACAGATGGTCTGTGTTGTGGGTACACTGGGACACTTCCTTCTCTGTATTTGTGGACTCCAAGGTAAAATCTTCGAGGTCATAAGTGTCCGAGGCAAGTAGCTCAGTGTTCACACACTGTTTAGGCTATCTCCTCAAATATGTTGTTTACTCTCTGCGAAACCAGTTAGATGGGCTGGCAAGAGAGAGGCTCTCCAGAATTGACGTGGCAACTCTACCGTGGAGTCAGAACCTCTGACTCTTGGATTTGTGATGTGAATACTCTGGTACCAACTCCAAATAAATCACAGTGGTTTGACATCAAAGCTCCGACTCTTCCCGTGTCTCCTTCCTGAGTCGGTGACTCCACTGCATGCTACACAGAAGTTTCCTCTACATTAACCATGCTGTCTAATCAGCATCTTGATATGCCACACCTGTGAGGTGGGATGGATTATCTCGGCAAAGGAGAAGTGCTCACTATCACAGATTCTTTCAGATTTGTGAACAATATTTGAGAGAAATGGTTATTTTGTGTTTATAGAAAATGTTTTAGATCTTTGAGTTCATCTCATGAAAAATGGGAGCAAAAACAAAAGTGTTGCGTTTATATTTGTGTTCAGTGTACATTACACCTCTACTTCTGGCTATCCTTTACTAATCGTTCCTCTCTGGTTTGGATATAACCTTCCTGTTCGGTAATCATCCTCTAAAGTCATGTGACAGACCTTTTAATGATGGATTTGTGTTTGTTCTTTGGGGATGAGAATCGTTCTGTGTTCCTAAAAGACACAAAGTACAATCCTGCAGACATCAGCCAGAATATCATCTTTCAGAGACGTCTCTTATAATCTGCGTTTAGTCTGCGATGCTCAACCAGAGGGAAAGAAAGCTGGCTGACATGTATTAACGATATTTAACAAAACCCTCTCTGTCATGTCGGTCTAATAGAGACTGAAGAGAGACTTTAGGAACGATCGCTCGTTATTCGTCTGATTTCCCGCCCCTCCTCCTGTCTGCTGTGATGGAGTGACAGACAAAATGTTATAAGGAGGTGAAATGGAGAGAATTACAAGGACGGAAAATATGTGAGAGAGAGAGAGATCGAACCTTGGAGTGAAAGAAATAAAAACACAGCTTGAATGGAAAGTGAAAAGCAGCAGAGAGGGAATCAAGCTGTGTCTTATATCTGTCTTTATCTCTTTCATTGTGTTTTCTCTTTGAATCTGAATTTATTTTCCACCGCCTGCTTTGCCTCTTCTGCTTATCTGATTTCCTTTTTGCCCAGATACTAAATAAGTAATCACTGTCCTCATTCACGCCATCTGGGAGGCTTCTCTCCTGCAGGTGTTTGTACTGCTTTAAAACCAATGTACCTGCTTCCAGACCATATTGCTGTGTGTGTTGTCTTGTATCACAGATGCAGAGAGGACGTCTGGTTGAATGCAAAGAGGTACCTTGTACACACTTGATAAAGTTGGTTATAAAACCTGCATGTTGTTCTTTTCTATATTCTTTTTACAATGTTTTATATCCACTTTGGAAATCGGGGACAGCAGGAAACTTCATCCTTACAAAAGCTCACAACAATCACTTCTTTATCATTGTACTGAATAAAGGGCGCTCTGAGTGGTTTGGAAATACACTGTCCTTTTTAGTCCAAACTCTACTGACTTCCTGCCGTTGTCTGTCTACCCTTTAAAGGACCCATGTCATGCTTTTCTGGTTATCACCCGTCCCCTTGTGTGTTATGAAGGTTTTTCTGCATGTAAACTGTCTGCAGAGTCACAAACCCTCAAAGTACACCCTGTAGCGAGTAAAACTCTAACACAGAGAAGACCTGTCTGTGCTGCCCCAGAACGCCTCGTTGGACATTTCTCTTCTTCCATTGATTGCTTCCTGGGTTCTGTGACGTGTGAACTCCCAGATCAACAACAAATGACCGGATTGGCCCAAATGGACCAATCCGCGGAGCCCCTCACACACCAGGATCCCTTGGCTAACTAACAGGGAGTCCCATTGACTTGCATAGAGCTCGCTGGTAATAGACGAGTTGGGATGGCGGAGAAATGCTCTCCGCAGACCCATTGACTCACAGCGTTATAAACCTTGTTCTTACTCAATATCAAGCCACACTTATTGTTTTTACTTCGGCTGTGAGTGTTTGTGTGCTCAGGATGAGTTTCGCTTGTTCTCGCTGTATCTCCGACCCGGAAACCTGTCCGCTCCTCGCAGCAACGAGCCTCGCAACGTCCCGACCAATCAGAGCACACTGGGCTCACATGGAGGGGGGGGGGCAGGAGCTCCAACAAGCCGTTTAGGACAGAGAGTGAATACACAGACTATACAGAGATGCTGTGAGAAACCAATGTGAGTTTGATATATTCTAGTAGACCTCAACAATGGAAATATGATCAGTGGAAATGGCCACGACATGGGAGCTTTAATGGTTTTGTTCCTAGAAATGCACGATGACATGAAAAGTTATATCTTCTACGATATCAAATCCCGATTAGATCTCCTTATGTTTATGTGACAGGAACAAATGATGGAGGTTTAAAATCAATATGTCTAGTTGCAGGATTTGTACTCAGAGATCGCATCATCTGAGTCAAAGTAGGATTCATTATTAAAGGTACAGGAACAATTTAGAACTAATGTTATGGCAATGCAATAACACATTGCACTATTAAAATGTCATCATCTTAGTATGGAAACTTCCAAATATGTAGTACATAAATACTAAAGACAATCTGCTGGATGTAATACTTTTTCCCCTTAATTGTAACTCCTAAAACTCTCCTTCAAATGTGTTTTGTGGCCTCGAGGATCAGATGTTATCTTTGCATTGCAGACGACTGAATACTCAGAAGAGGATGGTTTTGACAGTCTCTCTTTCTCAGAGTCTTTTACATTCGCTGCGTCTGCTCGTGTCTCTCCCTTCCCTCGTCTTTTCAGATTCTCCACAGGCTAAATCCTGAGCCCTCGTCTCTCTCTTTCTCCTCCCCTCTTCTCTCCCTCCTCCCCTCTTCTCTCCATCCACTCCTTCAGCTCCTCGGCTGAATCTCTGCCAGGAGCTTCTCTGCTCAGAGCCACAGGAGGGAGAGCGTGGAGCAACAAGAAAACAAAACGACAGACAGGAGCAGAAAGAAGGAACTCCACGACATGGTGGAGGACGCGATGCAGACACAGAGGGGGGGTGTTTGACAAAGAAGGAGACTAGAAAAGTACAGCGACGCAAAATCACTGACGAGGCCCTATTATGCTTTATTGGGTTTTCCCTTTCCTATTCTGTTATCAGTTTGTGTGCATGTAAATGGTCTGCAAAGGCTAACATCCCTGTTTTCTCTCCCACAGTTTAATATTAGCTGTAGCTTAAAAAACAGGTTAACTATCAGAAAACATCATGGAATACTTTTTGAACAGTCACCCTCTTACCTTTTATACAAGAGGTAAGAATACCCTGGAGTAATACCCGCAGAAACACTTATTTGATTTGGGGTTCCTAAATAAATTCAATATTTGTCAACAAACATGTGAGCGACAAGAAGTGTTAGACATTGTATTTCCCTCCATGTCTGTTTTTTTCTTTCTCCGTAAACATCACATCTACAACCCAGCACAAATCCACTCTGAATATTTCACTGCTTTTTATTGCTCGGCAAATTCAACAAATATCCCTAGGCGACACACACACACACACACACACACACACACACACACACACACACACACACACACACACACACACACCATTGCAGGGGGACAGTATAAACCCTAAATAATTGATACGTGCTTATCTGTTACGCTTCTTACAGTGACTTCTCAAGCTTCCACTGTATATGGCAAGCTAGCGCCATATTTTTCCGAGTTACACACACACACACACACACACACACACACACACACACACACACACACACACACACACACACACACACACACACACACACACACACACACACACACACACACACACACACACACACACCATTTATACATCACTTCAGGGGACATTACATTGACTTACATGCATTTCCTGGAGACTTATCCTAACCTTAACCATAACCAACACATGCCTAACCCTAACCAAGTCTTCACCCTAAAATTAATGACTCCCCTTATGGGGACCTCGAATTTGTCCCCATAAGGGAGGGGGGTCCCCACACGTGACTATGTAAACATATGTAGGTCCCCACAAGTATAGTAATGCTAGACCACACACACACACACACACACACACACACACACACACACACACACACACCATTGCAGGGGGAGTCTGGGGGACAGTATAAACCCTAAATAATTGATAAGTGCTTATCTGTTACGCTTCTTACAGTGACTTCCCAAGCTTCCACGTATATGGCAAGCTAGCGCCATATTTTTCCGGGTTAAACACACTAACTCACTCACACACTCACACACACACACACACACACACACACACATATACATATACATAAACTCACACTCACGTACAGTTAATAATGTAAGATTGTAATTTGACATATTATATATTTGACACTTAACATACATTAAATATCATATTTAACAGAAGGTGTTTGACTCACTCTGTGGGAACTTTGGAGGGTTGTCGTTGACGTCTGTCAGGGTGATTTTGACCTCCGTGGTGCCGGACAGCCCCCCCATGTGACCCCCCATGTCTTTGGCCTGGATCAGCACATCGTACTCCTGACGCGCCTCACGGTCCATGTTGGGCAGCGCCGTGCGAATTATACCTGGATGGAAAGATTTAAACATCAAGTGAATACTCACATTACATTTCTGTATGTGTCCTTATTAATCGCTATGATCCATCTGTCTTTTTACATTGGCTTTGGTTTCTACTTGAGATGTGTGTGATGCTGTTCTTATGTGTGTTCCTTTCAGGACTCCACGTGGTCTGTGTTGTGTTTTATGTTAACCTTACATTCTGCCTCATGTTGTTATCGTATTCATGTTTCTGTGGTCTTCATTTGACTTTTCTGTGAAAGGTGCTACACTAAATAAACGTGTTATTATTATTATAATGATATTTATTGTGATTTACCTTCCCAATAGTCTGTGTCATTTATTTCTAAGATATTTCTTGTTGCAGGAAAACATCGCTTAATCGTCATTTAAATAAGAACTCTAGTTAAACATGTGTGAAGTCTTATTTTGCTTCATTTCAAGCCCCGGTAATTCTTCCTTTCTGTTTAATTCATCACCTGCTTCTCTCTTTCCATCTCGCTCTTTCTTCCTCCATGTCGAGCTGCAGTGTCTGAGGCTTCCCACTGTCATGTTATGCCAAGTGTGTGTGTGTGTGTGTGTGTGTGTGTGTGTGTGTGTGTGTGTGTGTGTGTGTGTGTGTGTGTGTGTGTGTGTGTGTGTGTGTGTGTGTGTGTGTGTGTGTGTGTGTGTGTGTGTGTGTGTGTGTGTGTGTGTGACAGCATGCAAAACTGATAATCTCCAAACCAATTAGAAATGCGAGCTATGGATTTGAGCCAGTCAAATAACCAACACTGGTTTGATTAGTCAGATATGCACTCTGTCCAAATCCTCTTCTCTAACCACTTTCTTCATGAACGCACTCTCTCTAAACCAATTTCTCTCTCCTTCGCCACCCTAACCTCTCACTTTCTGTTCTCCCTCGCCCTCTCCGACCCATCTCAGCTCCAAGTCTCTCTGTCCTTGCCTCTCTTCATCTTCTTCTTCTTCTTCTTCTTCTTCTTCTTCTTACATCCAATTTATTTTCTGCAAACCCAAAATACTAGTCCGGGCTCTACAGAATGTCCTCTGGGGACCTCTTCTCACTGCAGAGCCTTCTTTTCAGCACCAATTTTTACTCTGAAAGATGTGCTGCTACATGACCCCCGCAGCAGCGATTATGTTAGATGTTTTGGCGCAGAACAGAAACATGAATTCCATTTTGTTTTAGAGACAAACATTATCCACATGGGGGATGATGTACACAGTGTTGTGGTTCACAATCATGCACTATATCGTAATTACTTTTCTTAAAGAACTTGAATATAGTGTCTTAGTGCCCATCTTGTAAAGGCTTGCGCACAGTCATTTCTTTCATTGTTTCATTTGGAATATCTTACAATAGTTTTGATTCCAAATGTGATCAGGTCTATCAAGTCTGGCGACCAGCCTTGATTTGTTTTTGGGGGGCCGGATTTGTTTGCTATCCAAAAAAAGAGCCCAAGCTAGTTAGCTAACTTCGGCTTTTGTGTTTTCAGTAGCAAATCAATGCACACTGCTTAAATAACCCAAATTAAATGTGGCTTCTTTTTGACACCATATGGCATAATACCTCAATAATGAACAACAACATGTATAACTTCTATTTGCATATCGCTGCGTCTACTCAAGCTAACAACATTGCGGATGCCTACGTAGCCAAGATGTCGGTCAATGGTTCCAGTGTTCCAACTTTTTGAACGTTGTGATTGCACTAGGGCTGAACGATTAATCGATTTTAAATCGAAATCGCGAAATGTTGCGATTATGAAATCGCAAAGCCTTTTTGTTGTTGTTCTTCTTGTGTGTCAGTCATCCACACCGATCAGAAGTGCTGTGCTCCACATGTACCAGCCATTGTTAACCAATCAGAAGTGGCCCATGATAGAAGGTGATAGACAGATTGATCCAATCACCTGCCAAGTGCTTTTGAAAGTGCCTGCCCTTTCCAAATGGCTTCCAATGGAGCTTTAGATGGTTTGGTGAAAGCATCTGAGTCAGGTTAGTAATGCTCCATCACATGTTTCTATTACAGGGAGAATCTTTAACTGAAGCTTGACTTTAAAGCAACCCAACGGAAGTTTCATGTAAGTTTAGTTCTTTCACTCGTAGCTCGGGCTGCGGGGGCGCTAGAGACGGGAGCACGTTGATACGACCTTCCTAGCCGGAGTTATGGCCGCATTTTACAATAAACTTCCGTTGGGTCGCTTAAAAACAAAAATCGCAATTCGAATCGCAATATTTGTCAGAAAAATCGCAATTAGATTTTTTCCCCAAAATCGTGCAGCTCTAGATTGCACCATCTGGACTTATAGTGCATTTAGCCATACTTTGCATTAAAGTATGCATATGGAGACAGAGCATGGGTCTTATGCTGCTGCAACGCCAACATTTCCCAAATTGGGATCGATAACGTACTTCTCTTATCTTATTTACATGATGTAACAATTGTTGTTGTGTAGTTGTGTGTAAACCAATGGCAGGTTTGAGTTCCCAGCCTTGTGGATGATCGTGGCCAAGATGGCGGTCGTTGGGTTCAAAAGTGTCCACCGTTTCAACTTTTTGAATTGTGGATGCTTACGTAGCCAAGATGTCGGTCAATGGTTCCAGCGTTCCATCTTTTTGAACGTTGTGATTGCACCATCTGGACTTATAGTGCATTTAGCCATACTTTGCATTAAAGTCAAGAAGTATGCATATTGAGACAGAACATGGGATGCTGTATTTGTGTGTGTTTGTAGTTGTGTGTAAACCAATGACAGGTTCGCAGCCTCACCTGTCTGCGGCTCCACAGAGAAGTACGGCTGTCCTTGCAGAATGCTGTAAACCAGCCTGGCACTGTTCCCGTAGGTGGGGTCGTCTGCATCTGTAGCCGTCACCTGCATCACGGACGTACCTGCACACACACACACACACACGGAAAAGAGAGATGAGTCAGAGGATGTGACTCGGTTCAAGAATGGTTTGACAAAGCGTCTTGTCTCAAAGTGTCAATTCACCGCGGCATGAGGAGAGGAAATGAAATAAACATTTTCCCTCTGCTTGACACTTCAGCTGAACTGCTCCGGTGAGGCTGGTCTAAACTCCTTATTTCTCTACGTTTCATCATGCCAGTTCAGACCAATTTCAACTTTTAAATAAAACGTTATATTTTCAGCATGTGGTGACAGAGTTCTACAACCCCCACCTTGATTTATAAAAACCCATTAAGCTGAGGCGATAAGCCAAATAAATCAGATGTGCACAGGTTTGAAAAATGTTGCGTTATTGTTGCAATTCCCTTAAGCAGATGTGACACGACTCATAAACATACTCGCAATAAAAGTAATACCAACTGCACTTTATACCTTGAGATGTATGACTCCTGTAGTTTTATTATGGGGTTACATTTTATTCTAAATAAAAACAATCATACAATGACAACATTGTTGCAGTATAACAATCAAAAGCTAATCCTGACCATCACCATGTCAACCTTTGACGATTTCTTACATGTATTCATGCTTCAATATCTTTCTAATCATATATAACTTTGAGGCACACAACCATGAGACTTATAAAGACAGAACTTGGTCAGACTTTAAGTTGTTTTGCCTTTCTCGTACAAGCTTTGGTTAGAAATGAGCTCAAATGTTAAGGACATCAGCCAAAGTCATTGCAATGAGCTCATTGAGTAGTTTTTGCTTCACTGATTTGAGACACATCAACATGCCAACGGTTTTAAAAGCTGTTACATTGCTTGCCTTTAGGTGGTGTTAGAAATTAAAATCAATGTTGATATGGCGTAAATCAGTTTTATTCTGAAAAACCGGAAGTTCTCTAACTTAATACTTTTATTCTGAAAATTCTTCACTTCCGGTTAGAATTAGCATGTGGCAAAATGCGTCATTTTCAAACCGTGAATCAAAGGTGAAATGACATGTGATGTTGTACACTGAGCACACTAGGATTAGCACTCATTTATTGCCGCTGAATAACGTTTATTAGGGAATGTTCAAATAACCACAGACACCAGAATGATATAATTTAACAACAGAAAAAGGCAGGAATTACATTGGACCCGCCCCCCGACGACGCCAGCCAATAGGAGAAGACCTCAGATGACAGCAGGAAGAGCAAGCCAAGAATTGACCTCTTCCACCTGCTGACCTGGACTGACCTGTCGGATGAGGAGAGCGCCTCCACTCGCACATTTCATTTTGTACACCACCGCATCTTTTGTGTAATTAAATGCTGTTAACTTTTATAATCTTCCCTTGACTCTTTTCAGTCTCTCCTGCCTTCAGGGTTCTAGAATACACTAACAGTGGCACACGTTGGACTAAACTGCTGACTCTTTGCAACGGGCTGATATTTGCAAAACTCCATTGGGTATAAAACTGTAACCAAGTTTTCTTCAATGTGGCAGCGACCTAAAGTGTACCGGGTAAATTACCAACAATTTGAAAGAGACTGCCTTCTGTATTTGCTCTACTTCTGACATCCATGAGGGAACGTGGATCTAGTTAGTCAAATTACAGCTTTTCTGTTCCACTTCTGTGGTTGTGGAGGATGGAAACCAGACGTTCTGCATTCAGGATTCAACTCGGGAAGCAGATGATTGGAAAAAACCAGCCTGAACAGAACTTATTCACAAGTCCTTTCAGTCCGGCCCATTCAATGAAGATGGGATTTATCTGGCTCTCAGAGTTTCTGCCAGTGTGGTTCATTCCAGGTCAGCCCAGAGGGGTTGAGACTCTCCCTGACCACATCACATTTTGAAAGAAAATCTATAAAGATCAGAAGCTGTAAGTAAGGAGAGACTGAGGAAATGGCAGGAGGTCTCATCCATGCCGATCTAAAGCTAAATATGTTTCTCTGCTACTACTTTTTGTGCATAAGAAAGGAAAAGGCTTTTTAGAAGCTTGTTGTCAGCTCATGGTTCGGTCTGTTCTCCCCTCCGTCACGCTTCCTGTGGTCGGATTTCAGGGATAATTAATAATGTATGAAAAGAGCTGTTTAGCAGACAAACAACACTGACGATGCACTCCATCGGTGACTTCATTAGGAAACATCACTCAATGTTCAACGGATAGACTTTCTGTGCTATTGAGTATCTCTGCTGCTGTTTATGCTAATTATATTTCATATTTGGACAGCAAACAAGTTTGAGGCTCAGCTCTAAAGATAAGCTCTCACTCAAAACAGGGCTTAGTTACATCAAACTAAATGGAGCACTAATAATCATCCAGGACACAACTGTTAACAATATTTTTTTGAATGACTGAATTTCTCAAATTAAAGGTTGAAAATTAGCACTAAGATTAAAACCAAACTTATTTTGTATTGAACAAAAGTGTACAATGTACATTATTAGATTATAATTCAGTATGTTAAAATACTTTGTTGAGATGCATATAGACTCAGTTTTGGAATAAGTACTAATTTATTAGGTAAAAGTAGCCATACTAAAAATCGTAAAAATATTCTTTACAATTAAAAGTCCTGCATTCAAAAGTCTTACTTAAGTATAAGTACATTACATTACATTGCATTTAGCTGACGCTTTTATCCAAAGCGACTTACAATAAGTACATTCGACCAGGAAGACACAACCTTGAAGAAAACAGAATCATAAAGTACATCAGGTTTCATAGAGCCAAACATTTCAAGTGCTACTCAACTGGCTTTAGGTAAGCCAGTCCTTTATTAGTATAAAAGTGCTTCGTTAATAGTTCTATCGCTCGAAGTGGAGTCGAAAGAGATGAGTTTTCAGTTTGCGCCGGAGTACAAAAGTATTGGCAACAAATTATATTATTTGCAGAAAGCCAATGTATTTATTATTGCCTATTTTAACATTTTACCAAATTGCAATCTTTCCGTTGTCACATTTTAAATTCTTTAAATCGAAGCATTCCCCCACTCTCGTCCTGTCCCCTCACCCTTTATTTAATAATAATAATAATAATAAACGTTATTTGTATAGCACCTTTGCTATAAGTGCTTTAAAGAACAAGAAGAAAACATAACATCTAAATAAATACAGAACAAGATAAAAGTAAAACTGACAAGAAATTAAAATAAATCAATTTGAAAAATAAAATGTATATTTATACTACTCACCAACATTGGACATCTCAGGCACCCTGGCGTAGTACGGCCCGTGTAGAAACTCGGGAGGGTTATCGTTGATGTCCTGGACCTTCACGATGAACTCTGAGGGCGGCTCCAGAGGTTTGTTGGTGTCTCGGTTCACCGCCTGCGCTGTGAGCGTGTACTGAGCCTGCTCCTCGCGGTCCAACGTCTTCGTGGCGTGGATGTTTCCCGTCTTGTCGTCGATAACAAAGATCGTCCCCGCACCTTCGCCCGACAGGATGTACTTTATTCTGCCAACGCCGGAATCTACGTCTGAGTGGAGCTGCAGCAGGGGGGAGGAAGAGGGTGAGTGTTGGTAAAATACTGAGTGTCCTCTTCCAACATGAGAGTAACTTGATAACAAAGGTATCCCAACTGTAGCTGTGAACATGACAGGATGTGTGATTACCTAGAAGAGCATCAGGACTGTTTGAGGCATATGATAGCTATGTGATTAACATGATGATTCAGCCTCTATGGAGAGAGACATCAAGCATGCTCATTTCTGACGTGGAGCTAATCTGAAGTAAACATTGAATACTGCTTTCTATTCCTCCATCTTGTGACTGTGTAACTCCCTCTCTTGGATATCAGCATGTGAAGGACACTGTTCAGGAACTAGTTGATGCTCTGTATGTGATGACTCCTTTCATTCTGGAGAGGATCACAGATACATGGATCCTGAGATTGAAGCTCAAGCCGGGGACCAGAGATTATTAACATTTTAAAGTATTTAGAAAAAGTCAGAATATTGAGATTTTGAGAAAAAGTCATAATTTTGAGATTTTGAGAAAAAGTCATAATTTTGAGATTTTGAGAAAAAGTCATAATTTTTAGAAAAAGTCATAATTTTTAGAAAAAACTCAACATTTAGAGAAAAAACTCAACATTTAGAGAAAAAAACTCAATATTTTGTTCATGACAGGATGTATGAGTACCTAGAAGAACCGGCATTCCTCCATCTTGTGACTGTGTAACTCCTCTCTTGGATATCAGCATGTGAAGGACACTGTTCAGGAACTAGTTGATGCTCTGTATGTGATGACTACTTCCATTTTGGAGAGGATCACAGATACATGGATCCTGAGATTCAAGCTCAAGCCGGTGACGAGTGATTATTAACATTTTTGAGATTTTGAAAAAAATCATAATTTTTGAGAAAAGGTCAGACATTTTGGATTTTGAGAAAAAAGAGTCAGGATTTTGAGTTAATCCTTAGTTGTTGTCTAAGTTTTTTAGTATATAGTAAAGACATGTTTTGGTTACAGGTAGATATATTAATGGCCAGCCTAAGAGTCAGTTAAATAAGCAGACAAGAATACACCAGTAAACATGTTTCCTTGATCTTATTGTAAGGCAGTTCCAGCTTCCAAAGTTTTCCAGTACTATTGCTCTAAATGAATTTCCATCACAGATGTGACACGAGACGTCTATTCCTCCAGTCTGTCGTGGAAAGGCTGAGACGGACAGCAAACACTAATAGCTTGGAGATTTAAAACGTTGTCATCCGAAAAAAGAAATTGAATAATGTTCAACTTTCAATTAAAGTCTCGTTCTTCTTGTACAACCCCTACAGGATGAAATATGATGCATTGTAAACATCATTTGTGGGTTGTTGTTGTTATGAAAGCCGATGCTCTCCTTGAGTGATGTGGTGTTTCTGGAGGAGAACTACACATCATTTTCACCTTGAAAGTGAACGTGAATTTGTTTTTACTCGGGACAACATTGGAGAAGCACTTTGAAATCCTGCTGGAGTTGGCTGCCTGCCTGTCACCCTGAAAACTATGACTTTAAACGCAGGGCAATTTGGCTATTAGACCAATTTGTTATTCATGCATGTATTCGGTTTGACTCCAGAGAAGGCAAGGAGAATTTATTTATAAAGCACTTTTCAACACAAGGCAATTGAAAGTGCTTTACAGAAATGAAAGACATTAAGAGCATAACACACATTAGCAATATTAAAAAGCAAAGATAATAAAACATGAAAGTTACAGTGCAGTTTAAGATGTGAATAGTTTAATTAAAAGCAGCAGCAAAAAGAAAAGTCTTCAGCCTGGATTTAAAAGTAGTCAGAGTTGCAGCGGACCTGCAGGTTTCTGGGAGTTTGTTCCAGATATTTCACAAGACCCCTAACCAAATTCTCACATTCCTCAACCCCTAGTCTTCCAGTGAAGTTATGGTTCTTTGGACAGTTTTCTAACCTGTTTATATTCCTTTCATCCTTCTCTTTCAATCATCTTGCTTCCCCAGACAACACATGTTCCTGTTTTACTGTTATCATACACCCATGTTTGAAAGACCACTTCATTAGATCGCTTTATGGTACTCACCCTGCCCACCAGCACCGGGTCAGGCCCAGTGTATTCCTCAATGACGAAGAACTGGTTCCAGACCCATCCTCGTTTGGACCGGTGCAGAACCTGCCCCTCCTTCCCTGTCCTCTGTCTGTGTGTGTGCAGTGACGAGTGACCTAGAAGCACAACGACATGCATCAATACATCTGTTGTCAAAAAAATGTAAGGTCACCTATTATGCAAAACCCTCTTCTTCATGTCTCTTCTACATCAACATGTGTCCCCTCTTCTTCATGTCTCTTCCACATTAACATGTGTCCCCTCTTCTTCATGTCTCTTCTACATTAACATGTGTCCCCTCTTCTTCGTGTCTCTTCTACATCAACATGTGTCCCCTCTTCTTCATGTCTCTTCTACATCAACATGTGTCCCCTCTTCTTCATGTCTCTTCTACATTAACATGTGTCCCCTCTTCTTCATGTCTCTTCTACATCAACATGTGTCCCCTCTTCTTCATGTCTCTTCTACATCAACATGTGTCCCCTCTTCTTCATGTCTCTTCTACATCAACATGTGTCCCCTCTTCTCCATGTCTCTTCTACATCAACATGTGACCCCTCTTCTTCATGTCTCTTCTACATCAACACGTGTCCCCTCTTCTTCATGTCTCTTCTACATCAACATGTGTCCCCTCTTCTTCATGTCTCTTCTACATCAACATGTGTCCCCTCTTATTCATGTCTCCTCTACATCAACATGTGTCCCCTCTTCTTCATGTCTCTTCTACATCAACATGTGTCCCCTCTTCTTCATGTCTCTTCTACATCAACATGTGTCCCCTCTTCTTCATGTCTCTTCTACATCAACATGTGTCCCCTCTTCTTCATGTCTCTTCTACATCAACATGTGTCCCCTCTTCTTCATGTCTCTTCTACATCAACATGTGTCCCCTCTTCTTCATGTCTCTTCTACATCAACATGTGTCCCCTCTTCTTCATGTCTCTCCTACATCAACATGTGTCCCCTCTTCTTCCTGTCTCTTCTACATCAAACATGTGTTTTCCCTAACATGTGTCCCCTCTTCTTCCTGTCTCTTCTACATCAACATGTGTCCCCTCTTCTTCCTGTCTCTTCTACATCAACATGTGTCCCCTCTTCTTCATGTCTCTTCTATATCAACATGTGTCCCCTCTGTGGAAAGAGACTCTGAAAGTTTCAGGAACAAAGATTCTCTCTCTTTTTGATCCATTTCTATAAAAACCTGTCTGAAAATGAGCTGATCAGATTTTGCCCACTTTATGATGTCATAACGATGTTTTGTCTTGTGTAAGCATTAGCCAATCAGCAACCAAGGTAACCCCCCCCCCCACCTTAACACCTGAATCTCCTCCTAGAGCACCATTGAGTTCTTTGTAACCAAATGTCTCTCAGAGGGGCGTGGGGAGGGGCTCCTTATTTTCATCTAAAGTAACAGACAGAATCAGCACTTTGGAAACAGGGCTGAAACAGAGGGGATTATGGGTAATGCTGCAATGATCTGTTTGGTGTTTCAGCCAATCAGAGACATGTTCTGTATATATCTGAGACCTGTGATATATTGATGAAAAACAGTATAATAGGGGACCTTTAAGCCAATGCTATTGTTTTATGTCAATACACGAAAGTCCACACCACATTCATTGGGTTTATGAATGGTTAAACACTAAAATGTTTGAACCAATCCATAAATGAATGATAACCCCAGCTGCCGTTTGTTTTCTGCGAATATTTCAAATTATGGGTCACAAGTTTAAATCCCATCGGAGACACTGTGGGTGGGTTCTGTGAAGAGCCCTCGCAGCAACAAGTGTTTTTTTTCAGGCACTTCAGTTTCAAGCTGTGTCGGCACAGAGCAGCTGCCGTGTGTCATAAAGCTGTGCTATATGAGGAAAGGTAACCGCATGCATACATTCTGAGTGTAAATACACTGAAGATGTGATAATGAAAACTGCTTTGGGGGATTTTAGAGTAAGCCATCACATTATTGACAATTGAATGTCAATGTAGTGCTTTCCCATTCTGCAAATGTAAAGGGTAATAAACATTTACATTACATAGAGTAAATATTTGCGTACATTCTTATGGATAATAACACAGCTGTATTGTAATTGTCAGATATGGATTGCTGGTGTTTTGAAGTATAAAGCGCCTCGTTGTCACAAGGGAGATCACTGTCACTTTGAAATGCATACAAAGGAAATAAGTGGCATGCGTGACCATCTGTGTTTTGTCAGATGAAAGATGTATCTCACAAAGCATCAGTTACAGTATGAAGCTGTGTGTTTCGATGCAGATGCAAAACAATCCCTAATCCGACACATAGAGTGAAGCAGGACTCAGTCACTGAAGCAAATTCCTCGCATGTGTAAACCTACTTCGTAATAACACATATTCTCATTCTGAAACACATTAGCATTTCACCACTTCCTGGTTCTTTGTCTCCAAGTCCATGGTTTTTTCTTTATGTTTTTGGTAAGATGCCTGAATACGGCATAAAATAGGTGAGTGAGTACCCAACTGTTGAATTTTAAAACAGCAGTTGCTAGCATTCGGTTAAATTAGACTACTACACGTCATCACACTGAATATTAGCTGCAGCCTTTAGCTAAGCGCTGCGGACAGGGAGTCATGTGACCATGCTGTAATTATGAAATAGCATTTAGTTAGCTTTGTAGGGTTAGTTTAGGGCGACTGTGGCTGAGAGGAAGCGTGGTCGTCTTTCAACCAGAAGGTTGTTGGTTCTATCCCAAACATGCGGTCAACATCGATGTATCCTTTGGCGCGATACTAAACCCGATGGCCAACTGTGTGTGTGTGTGTGTGTGTGCGCGTGTGTGTGTGTGAGAACGTTAGCTTCCTAGAGCAAGTGGCACTGCTCTGTATGAATGAGGTATGAAAGGCAGGGGCGGCGCCAGGGAGGAGCTAGGGGGTGCTGAAGCATGCCCCAGGATTGCCTAAGCACCCCCTAAGCACCCCCAAGAAATGTTTTTTTTCGAAAATTATTATTATTATTTTTATTAAATTAGAAAATGTATTGATTACATCAATGCAAATGTGAAACAAACACATTTTTGACCAAAAACATAAAGCCAACACAGGTGATATGATTAGGCCAATGGCCAGCACCCATTCGATTTTTGACCTACCCATAGGCTAAATTACTTTGTGACACTTGATTGACTTCCTGTTAGCTAGAGCGCCAAATTATTTGCTAACAGCAAAGTGAAAGATGGATCGTTTTTTAGTCCTTAAACGTCCACGTGTGGACACTCAATCAAAACCACCTGAAAGCGAGAGGGATTCTGGACATAATAGCCTAGCGTCGTGAGTACAAGTAGCTTCTCTGGTCTCTGTGTTTCATTCAAGCTCTGCTCTGTGTGTGTGGCACGAGCCATTTTGTATGCGTGCGCAAGCGAGCGAGAGAGAGAGCTCGCGCACCGGTGGGTATCTACTGGAGATCGTTGTGGTTAGCATCTGGTGCTAGCTAGCCAAGCTAACGGATATAAGGAGCTTTTTCAAGGTGGAGGGAGAACTCTCTCCTGTCAGACTGAGAGTCTCAGATAACCTCAGCTCAGGTGAAGTAAAGGACTCTCAGTGTTTAGATAGTTAACTTTAGTCTAGTTATCTCAGTGGGTCTCAAACGGTTTGTTTTAAAAGGGGAGTGTTTTGTAAAATATCTATAAAGAAATAGAAAATCTGTATACAGTTCTGTTTCATATGGGTGTTGTTGAGAGATGTATCCATAGATCTCTTAATGTTGCTCTCAAAGTGCACCAGATTGATGCTTTTAACTTCAATATTTAAAAAAAATCACCTTGGCTGCTGATTGGCTAATGGTTACACAAGCCAAAACATCGTTATGACATCATAAAGCGACAACAATCTGATCAGCTCATTTTCAGACAGGTTTCTATAGAAATGGATCAGGACAAAAAGAGAGAGAATCTTTGTTTTTTTGATTTTACATAATAGGTGACCTTTAAATTGCCCTGATTCCCGTTGACTCACCTGAATGTCTGTGTCTGTGGCCCCTGTGGTCCAGGGCAGTGTTTCCTCTCCTGGTTCCTAACGCCACGCTACACAGCGCTGAGATTCCCACCAACAGCAGGAAGACCCTCAGCGAGCCGAGGCCCGTCCGCTTCATCGCCAGCATCTCAACGTTCACTTCACTTCCTGCTTCCTCTCAGTGGAGCGCCGCTCCCACCGAGGTGATATCCTGTGTTTGCTGACAAAATGATGATCTTCCTAGTTCATTAGCTGAGAAGGAGCCTGTTGGTGAGGATAATCATCACCCGCTTCCACGATATGGACTTTATTTTCCTTGTTGTTGTTGTTCTTCGTACGATTGGTAATCTCCTTCTCTCTTCTGATCACAGAGCCTGAAAGAGATCAAAGTAGAACAACATTAAAACCAAATTACATTCAGTACAACTTCTACCGTGCGAAGACATTCATCTCTATAAAAGTGATGAATGTAGCTCTGACAGCAGAAACAACATCAAAAGTTCTGTGATCGTTCACTCCTGTCTGTTTCAGAGGGTAATGTTAATTGACTGCAGTTAAAGATCGGACTTCTTAAATGGTTGTTGTGTTGATTAGGACATCGCACTAATTACCCCGACAATGCTGTCAGTAAACTCATTAGCTTGAATTCAATTAGACCCAGACTGATTCAGTGTGGGACGCAGCACCAGGTCCCCGTATTACTCTATTTACAGCCGCTTCAAGTACCATCTAACTGATGTAGAGCAAATACACGATTCGTTTCAGTTTCATCTGTTGAACACAGACAAAGGATCCAAAACAAGAAAGAAACTGCTTGCTACTTCCAAGAAACTATATAAAATACCTTAAATGCAATTTAAATGAAAATCCTAGGCATATGACAAGAATAATTTGTAATGGTTGCAATAAAGGAAATCTAAGGATGCCAATGTAGGACAAACTATGACCGGCTCCCACCATCCATGCTGCATTTGTGGATTATGGATTTATTGTTTCTTCTCTGTTCCTTTTAAAGCCAGCCCATGTTTTAAGGATATACTACCTTCATGTATTTGGTTAAGTTAGGATGATTTGATGTCTCACGCTACCACATAACCACCTTCTTCCAGTGTTTCCGTTAGTGGGTATTTACCAGACTTTGACCGGAACAATCTGGCAAATGTAAATCAGTAATATCACTCGGTCTGCCTATTTCCATCTACGCAACATCAACCGCCTCCGCCCGTCCCTTAACCCTAAGACCACCGCCATTCTTGTTCACACCCTGGTCACTTCCCGCATCGACTACTGCAACTCCCTCTCAAATCCATCCACAGACTTCAACTGGTTCAGAACTCTGCCGCCCGCATCATCACCAGAAACCCCTCCATTAACCACATCACTCCTGTTCTTCAGCAGCTTCACTGGCTCCCCGTCAAATCCCGTATCGTTTTTAAGATTCTGCTCCTCGCCTTTAAGGCCATCCATAACCTCACTCCTCTGTACCTCTCCGACCTCCTGCACATCAACACACCCATCAGATCTTCTGCTTCCCTCAACCTCACTGCACCCCCCTTCCGTTTAACCACCATGGGGTCTAGCCTTCAGCCGCTCTGCACCCCGCCTCTGGAACTCCCTCCTGACATCCGCAACACTGACTCTCTCCCCATTTTCAAATCACGCCTCAAAACATATCTCTTCACACTCGCATATCCACCCTGATCATTATCCATCTCACATCCTCTGTTTTATTTATTTGATTTGTTATATACTGCATTGTCTTGTTTATGTCTCTTATGCTGGTGTTAGGTATTGTGTATCTTGTTTTGTATGTGTGTGTACGGCGACCTTGAGAGCCTTGAAAGGCGCCTATATAAAATAAATGAATTAATTATTATTATTATTATTAATAAAAAAATCTCTTTAAACTATTTAAAGTGTATTAAAAATAGGCTGAATAGACGAGTCGGCACCTGCCTCTCTCATCATACGAAAGACAAGAAACACAAAACTGATACACATTTAGAAACAGGTTTAACTAATTAAACGTCATTAAGGGAATACTGTCACTGCATTGACTCGCACCTATAAGTCAGACAACATCGTTTGTTATCCACTAAATGTAGGACCAAAGAAAAAAAAAATGGTTTAGCATCCATGCTGCATTTGTGGATTAGGCAAGGTTTTTTAGGCTACCTTCATGCATATATTTAAGTTTCAATACCTCAGGCTACCACAACCTTCTCCCAGTGTTTCTATTAGCTGGTATTTAACAGACTTTGCCTGGAAAAATCTATTCTTTCACACACAGTGACGTCACGAGCTACCCACAATGCAACGAGCGCCATATATATATATATATAAATACGCCATTTTCCTGGATGTGCAAATATCCTGGAGGTGCAAATATAAACAGCTAGCTAACGTAGCCAGGCAGAGCGCACTAGGTTTTTTTTCTGAATTAACGACCGAAGAAATCGCTGCATGTCTTCGGATTACATCTCTGGACTTGAGGGGTGTGCTCTAGGTCGTTACCAGCGTTAACTAGAGCTGTGTGAGTTGTCGGATTGCCCTTACAGACTGCCTGCAGATGTATGGAAAAACGACCCTTGAAAGTGGCCTTCGGTCGATTTTGGCAGCATCTACGTCTATCTTCTGCAAACACCAGGTGAATACCCCACTTGTCACAATAATATTATCATGCCAATGCATATATGTGGTATTTTAGAGTTGACTATATTGATTAAGGCAATAGACTATGATATTCTGCTTGCACCTCGTGTGAAATGGCGGATACCAGAAGTACGGTGTCGCCCTCGGCCCAAAACCCGTATGTGTGTGTGAAAGAATGCTGGGAGTGACACGCAGTTCATTTCTATATTCTAACAAAATGGAAGATAAATTAGTTATTGCGGTAGCAAATCACCCGGTTCTTTATGACCGGTCCCTATTTACTTACCGGGATACAAACCGGAGGAACCAGGTATGGAGGGAGGTGGCAGAGACAGTGGGTGAAACTGGTAGGTTTTCGCCTGTTTGGGGATTTTATATCCAGTTTACTTCGTTTTAACATTGCTAGCAAGCATAGACAGTATATTTAGCCAGCATGGAATGTAGCATAAAATAGCACAGTAGTAGTTATTTGCTTTGTTTGTCGGGGGCGGGAGATTCATGTGATTGGTTGTTGGTCACGTTGCTCGCAAAAAATCCTCAAGCTTCAGATACACCCACCTCCAAGATGTTTTTAACGCTGCTGTGTGGACGTACCGTTAGCCTTATTTATACAAGAAACAAAACAACTGACACACATTTAGAAACAGGTTTAACTAATTCCACTTCATTAAGGGAATAATGTCACTTCATTGACTCGCACCTATATGTCAGATAACTCATTTCCCAGCCTATTGGTTTACTAGTGTATCGATGGTTCATTTGCACACAGCTGCTTCACCAATGAACCTCCATTACGGCCCTGACATGGCTGACAGGAGATTTGGGACACAGCTGCACATCCTCCATGTTATTTTCCACATTAACCTGGAGTGTCTCTCAGCCGTCCGATCAATGCCAATCCAGCTCCTGCTGAACTCAGAATAATTGCACAAAAGCTGTCAGTGTTTTTAAATCATTCAACACATGCGCGAAGCTGTCAGTAAGTGATTGTTTGCACACATCCCTTTTACAACAGATACAAATGAGTTTTTCAAGCTGTCAGTGTTTGATTCTTCAGGGCCTATATTCTTCAGATGTTCTTTTGTTATAAATGCTAATTGCTGATCTTTCTTTGCCTTATCAAAGAAAGTTAGAGCTTACAAAATGTGTGTGTGTTTAATATTCAATAGATCAGTAGATGAGAAAATCCCCTCAGGACTCATTTGCTCCTGTTGACCACATGAGCGCCCAAAAGGAAAGTGTGGACAGTTAATCCCTCACCGGCTCATCATCTGGCTAATTATCCTTGAGTCTTATTGTGTGTGTGTGTGTGTGTGTGTGTGTGTGTGTGTGTGTGTGTGTGTGTGTGTGTGTGTGTGTGTGGTGTGTGTGTGTGTGTGTGTGTGTGTGTGTGTGTGTGTGTGTGTGTGTGTGTGTGTGTGTGTGTGTGTGTGTGTGTGTGTGTGTTCAATGCTTGTCTATCATTTGTCTGTATAAGCCTTAAAGATGTTTCGTCTTTGCAACTACAAGGAGGCAACATATGTGGGACTAAACTGAAATTACCTCAAAGGATTGAAGTGAAATCAAACACAAAGACGAGAAGATGTAATTACGTGAGGATGATATTGTTTAAATGCTTCATATTACAAAGTCATTTAGGCTTTAAAGTAACTTGAAACCAACATAGAAACGCTTTTAATGAGGGCTATTTTCTTCGAAATAGAGTTGGCCAACACTTTTTATTAAGAAAAGAAAAGCAACACCTCAAGGAAATCTATTCTTAGAAGTTGTCACTTGCAGGTAAAGTAATTTGTGAATTCCTTTGAAACTTAAAACAAGTCCAAACAGCGGTAACACCAAAACAGTTATGCACGCTTGTGGGAGCTGACAGCTGTTATGCAGAATCTATTCACACGCTCTCAAACTGTCACTAACACGTCAAATTACTCTAAGAGCCGGCTTTATTTAACAAGCGAAAGCACAACAAGTCCAAAATAAATTGCTTTCACCAATATCCTGAAACCCTGTCGCCGGTCATCTGTTAATTGCCTCAAAAACTGTCAAGTCAAACACATACAAAAACAACAATAATCAAGCAGATTGGTAGCAACGCGACAGCTCGGTATTTCTCGATGTGACTGTGAATATTAAAGGTCACCTATCGTGCTATTTTTAGGCAATAGCATAGGTCTCAGATATATACATATATACTGTATAAAAACATGTCTATGAAGTGTTTTGCTCAAAATACCAAACAGATCACCCATTCTAGCCATGCCTCATATCTCTCTATTTCACTTCCTGTTTCTAAAGTGCTGATTTGGGGTATAAAATATACAAAATAAAAGGAGGGGTCTGAGCTCATGCGGGACCCGGCAGCTACTGTCTAAACTAAATGCTGCCGTGATGAAACGCCATATCATGGATTATCAAGGATTCTCTCTGAAACAGTTTGGAGCTCAAAGGCTTTCTCTCTTGCCGGTTATACCACAAGGTGAGTTCCTTTTTACTTCCTGCTTCTTCACACACATGCTCTCCAGTACAGGTTAGCTCTGAGTGCTAGCGATGCTAATGTAAACACCGACCATATTACGTCCAAAACAGTCGGGCATTGTTTCTGATAGCAACGTTTCTGATTGGACCGCGGATCCACATTTCAGATATTACGTCATATCGGACGCAAATCTGGATCAGCTCCGTTGTTCCCCGTTTTTAGAGATTTGGGTACGGAGGAAAAGAGAGA